TTTAATTACTACATATCTCGGTCCATCGATCCAATGTACACTTACATTTTAGTCAATTAAGCAATCACAGCATGTGGCCTAGCATGGGTGTCAGTAACCTGTCATGATTACGATTGCATTTCCAATAATTAAAATGTCTTCTCAGCATGATTCGTTGATAGTTACAGTCTCGCTGATCTCATGTTTTGTAGAAATCTTCCCTTTGCAGTCTTTAATTTATTTGAATACGCAGTTTTGGTATGGAGTATTGGATAGTAGTTTTGGTATGGAGTATTGGATAGTAGTTTTGGTACGGAGTATTGGATAGTAGTTTTGGTATGGAGTATTGGATAATAGTTTTGGTATGGAGTATTGGATAGTAGTTTTGGTATGGAGTATTGGACAGTAGTTTTGGTATGGAGTATTGGATAGTAGTTTTGGTATGGAGTATTGGATAGTAGTTTTGGTATGGAGTATTGGACAGTAGTTTTGGTATGGAGTATTGGATAATAGTTTTGGTATGGAGTATTGGATAATAGTTTTGGTATGGAGTATTGGATAGTAGTTTTGGTATGGAGTATTGGATAGTAGTTTTGGTATGGGGTATTGGACAGTAGTTTTGGTATGGAGTATTGAATAGTTTAGTTTGGCATTTGTACAACTTTAGTTGCCCGCGAAAGAGTTGAAATAGGGTCGTAAGCATTTTGCAATTAGCATACTCGAGGAATTTGTTGCTAAGCATAAGGTTAACAGCGTAAATATTGAGTGATACAAGCTGTAAAATACACTGAGTAACTTGTTCTCGGGCGCTTTTCGATATATTAGCTATAAACATGTATCAAATACAGATTTTGTTCTTTAGAGACTAATTATGGGTCTGTCAGGCCTTTTACTCAATTTCGACTTGAAGTTGTGTTGTATCAATATGTACCACATAATTCAACACATCAGTGTTGAAAATAACTTTCTTACTGCTGACCTATTTTTGATGCACGCAAAATACCAACAGTAGGCCTACCCATGTTGTGGCTGTAGGCCTACGTGTGTTTTTTGTACAACATGTACAACAACTTTATGCTTGATAAAAATGCAAATTAGGCATAAAAAGTCAAGGTCTTGTTTTTTAATTATCCCTCTGGGGCTTACGGACTCCCATACCCCCAGCATAATTACCGCTTGATGGATTCTATGATCGAATCATAAAGTTACAAACTAGCCGACCGCCGCCATCTTTCTCATGAATGATTCATCCTAGAATATTGTGCAAAGTTAACTACTCCCTCGAAATGGATGGAAAAATACGGATGGTTATCAGTTGGCCTTATCAGATCGGGCTACGAAAGTGCGGCTCCAAAATTGGCCCCATGTCGTTTTTGATGGCAATTTCAAATTATTTTATACTTAATGGGCTCCATAAAGTTTGATTATTTTCCAAATTGATCGGTGAAGCATATAAGTAAATCTGATAGCAACATATACAAGCTTTAGACTAAAGGGTTTTTACGGAGGTATAAACAATGAGCTTAAAACAAATTAAACCAGCAAATGCCGAGAGACATATTTGGAAGGCCCGGTACGAATTCAGGAATTTGTAAACTGTCTCTTTAAAATAAGCCCACCGTAAGCCACCTATTGCTAAAGTACAGTTGGTGATTTGCTTAGCATGGCTGGCTGTGTACGCTGTAATACGCCTGGGGCGAATGGAACTTGGTATAGGGATCATAGCAAGAGGAGGGGGAAATCATTCATTGTCGATAGCAAGGATGAAGGTTCCGACCAGCTAATTGCCCTCTGACGGCGGTGGGGCTGCCTAATTAAAAATTATGGCGGAAATTATGGCTGTGGTGGTTCTCATGCCGAGCTGGGGACTGTAGTTCACGGGGAGTTGGGAGTTTGTTTTTTATTATCAGGGTTTGTGTTCCAGCGGGAATAATTATTGATGTTGGAGTTTTAATTGTCAATATATTCCTCGGAAACTCTACTGTTTGAATGTCAAAAATGGCGTCTGCTCCAACTCGTTTAAAGTCAGGCGCGCAGAAGTTGAACTGTACGCAGATGACGAAACGGAAACCATTAATTTGGACCATTATTTTTGTATTTCCAAAAATATTTCCTTTGAAAGTCTCGATGTCCGCAAGCAAAAATCAGGTTGTTAAAAAGCCTTATAGGATGCGGTAAATAACGTATATGTAGCAAACGGAATAATATATACAAATGGAATAAGAGATATATGGGAGTTAACTTTGGAGTTTGAATGTTGTTAAGCTGAAACTATGTTCGTCCCTTTAATAATCACTCATCATCTAAGATGTTTCAATAAATTTATTTTTATATGGTTGGACCTCTTGACTCCTTCTTTGGTTTCCACAGACCCTATATAATTATATACGATAGGATTTGCACATTGTAGCAAGTCTGCCAATGTGTTGTGAATTAAGCCAATGATGCATAGTGATGACAAAGTAATGGATGGCGCTCATTCGTTTCTTTTGCCGGCAACGTTCCTGCTGTAACATTTTGGCGTCTTTTAAGACATCTAAAGGTCATCATTTGCCGTCTTTAATACACGATCACTTAGGGTTCATATACACGCAATAGACCGTTTGCACGGCAGCCATGTTTGAGGTGTGTGGTCAGTTTGTTCAACAGGGATGCACACGAGTACACCTCTTGTACAATCATTGTTAATGAATTGACAAAACAAAACAAACCTCAAAAATGGCTGCTAAATGCAGACGATCTATGAGAAAGGTAAGTCATTCTTGTATACCAAATACTGATTTCTGCTGAACTTTTGAAGCTAAACGATATACCTTTTTAAAATCACAACTCGAAAGTTTATATTCTGCGCATCAGGCATATAGAATGATATGTTTTACACCAGTGAATATGTGTTATACAGTCAGCCATTACACAACTTAGTTTAGGCTATAAATTTACATGTTTATTTGACGGTTGGTAAGATGTTGAAATTTTCAGGGCAGGTTTTTTGTTAGAATCCTTGAAATCCTTTCGTAATTTTTAATTGGATAATAATGCCAGACTATTTAAAGCTATTACTTCAATTGTTAATTCCGCGAACAAAATATTCCAAGAGAATAGGAATAATTAGTTACGATTCAAATGTTTTTGCAGCCCTGCACTGTGAGTGTTGCACTAGGGAAACGTTAAGAACATATTTTGCCCGAGGAGGAGTATTCGGTTAAGTGTGGAGTTGTTGAGTGCTGGTCTGCAGGATATCATGAAATTTAATAAATGTTGATGATCTTGCCTATCTCAGGAATCGGAGATATGAAAGTTCATAAGGTAATATATCAGATGTTGGATTGTAGGCTCCCATGGTAACCAATCAAAACCATGCATAATTTATATTTTTATCAGTCTTTTTAATCTGTAACAATTTTGCCAGCCGAGGTTCAAGAGCAATGTCATGGAAATAAGCAAAACTGCGAAATTTACATAAGCCTGTCGTACTAGTGCCAAAAATAAAATCCACATTTCGTCAAAGCGGCAATATATCGACGGCTAGGATTGAAAAGATTCCAACCAGCCTACATAGTTTAATGAACATGTGAAAGTACTCTGCTGCCTTGGCCTATAAGAACGGAGCCTTGATTGGAAAATTAAATCTCATTCCACTTTATATGGCTACAATATGTGAAGTTATGTGTGTCAATCCGCACGTCGTATAGTAAATTCCTTCAACTCGTCCACAGAGCTTTTCTCGCTTATTGCGTGTCGCCGTAGCACCGATGCGTGAATACACGCAGTGATGACATTTTGAGAAACAAATCGGGCAATTTTTGTTATGAATATTCGTCGCTAGTCGAAGTTTATTTGCTGAAACTGAATATATATCACTGACTGACTGTCGGGAACCGTAACCGCAAGCCTCGTTGGAGAGTTATTGCAGTTATGAGTGTGAAATCTCCATAACACAATAATGATGATATCCACATGGAATATTCTTTTACCAAAATATTGACCAAAATGCGTGTTTCTATTCGACTGTGTTGGATGAATTCTGGTGGTTGGCTTTACAAAATTCATGTTTTGCTCTTTTGGGAGGGGGGGGGCGGTAAGGTAACATAAACGTATAAATATATAAGCAAAATTATGGAAAGTATGTCACTCCTGGTTGACATATTCAATAATTAAAGATAACAGGGAGAAGCTGGCTTAAATTTTTCGGCAGTTGGCACATCAGCTTCACAAACTGCCCCTTTGCCGTTTCACTTCATTGGCAAAACTGCTACTGAATTTCTGGCTCAGTTAGATATCAGTGTCGGTGTTTGACAAAGCAAAGACCGTTTCCCCTGATCTATTCCTTACATCCCCACGCTCATGATGGTGCATCTATAATGGCGCACGCACCGTGTCTTATTGGCATAAAAGACACCGGAGGGCCCCCCCGCAATCTCTCTTGGCAACCGAGACGACAAAACCGACTCTCAAGGTTGCAACTTTACACCAGCTGTTCCCATGCGATGATACCATTTAGATTCCTTCAAGATTTGCTCCCTCCGGCTCTCCTTGCATCACGGGGCCTGCTTACCACCGTCTTGTGATACATACACGCGCCCAGGAAAAGGGCGTCTTGCGGATGATGCGCCGTTGCTCCCTTGATAACGCCGAAACTGAGTGAATTTTCATGAGGCACTTGACTTTTCCAGGCGCTGTAAGTTACGCCAGGCGTCGTATCGCGGCCATTGCAGTACACACACGCATCGGAAATGAAGACATTTGGAATGCCCGGGAAGTGAGCGAGAGGACGCAGTGAGAAGACGGTGGGGTTAATGAGAGAAATGAAGAGGGTGGGATGAGATTAAAGAAGGATGCAAGATGGAAGGGCAGGCTGATATAGACAGACAGATAGTCAGTAAGCCTGACCAACACACAGACACAGATACACATGACCCTGCATGAGATCAGGTACAGCCAAAATGTGAATTAATAGAATGAACAGACATACAGACTTAAAGATAAACTGACAGACTGACAAACTAACATCATAAACGTACCTTGTAATCCATCGTACTGCCATATATCCCACCAGCCTAGCCCTGACTGACCTGAAAATGAAAATAAAAACTCGAATGTTCAGAGAAATACTTCAAAATTGTACAGGAGGCATGATTTCTCAATTTGTTTTGACATACAACTCCTATTTATTTAACTAGCATTGTTCTTCGTGCAATAGTGTCGTTAATGTAACACTGTAACTACAATTCGGATATTGAATCGGCACATGCAAAATTTCTCGGCTGTAGTTTGAAGAGAATTCAACCTTAGAAACGTAGTTTTTTTCATGTTTGTGCATTTTGTTTAAATATTAGGCTGTGGTTTAGTTCAGAAAGTCCGTATATAAAAGCTCGGTAGAGTGAATTGTTTTGATTTTTCTTTTCAGATAACCTCACAGAATGTTACGAGAGCTTGAGCAAAGCGTTACCAATATCAACGACTTTTTATTTCAAACATTTTGTATTGTTCATTAAGTTGTAGTTGGTGCATCCTCCGTAAATAAACCGGTTGTAATGCATTGGGTCTGATGAGGATATAATGAAATAACGCCAACATCAATACTTGGTATAGATACCCGGGACAGGAGCGGGAATCGCATCCTCCCATCCCCTACGATTTACTGTAACACATACCACCGAAATTCACCACTAATTCAATTGTCCACCATAATCAAATAAATAAAACGCAGAGATCATGCAGACAACCACACAAGACCCCCGGCCATATTTTTTATTAGTTAAAAACGGAAATTAAAGGGGCGACGCAAAGGGAAATGCGCAGACTGAGGAACAGTGTGGCACATTTAAAATACTTCAATTGCTGCTTCGAGTTACCTTTAATGTATCACACTGTTTTATTAGTAAAAGTTTTAAGAGGATCACCCACAACCAAATCTGTGATAACCATAATGCTAATTTAAAGTGAGATCGCTTAAAGAGGAAGTGTCGGGAATATTTTCATCCCGAAAATAAAAGATGCAGACGGGACCTCTTTAACTGCTGGACTGAGTTCAGCAATGTTTTTGTTTCTCGAAATGGTGAACGTGACATGCGCCTTAGGCCAAAGTAAACACTGAATATTTGTTTGGCCAGATATTTTAATTATTATTTTATTGACCGAGGAGGGCAATGCGATAAAAGAAAATGTGATAAATATATTTTTGCTTCAGATAAATTCTGTTTCTGAATGCGTCCCTTTTGTTAAAATGATTTAACAAAAGATATTTGAAACTCTGAAATATATGAATCGAGTAATATATTTTGATTACTGGTGCCAACCTGCCGCATGTGTGACTCCTTTCCTAAGCAATATTATGATATGAAATTATCCAAACATTTTCATCTTCAATAGGTGTGAAGCAAGTTGCATGCGGTCTCAGCCGAAATCATAACAGACCAGAGTGACAGACTACGCGCCTCTTAATATACAAGGCTCCAGCACCGAGCCCTGCGGAACTGCGCATGATATCACAACCCTCAATCTAACAAAAAAAAATGGTGGCATGCTCACTCTGCGATTTCGCAGATAATAATGTCAGGAGAAAAACTCTCATTAAATCTCCCAGACTGATGAATAAAATAGGGTGCCAGCCATGAACTTAACTTCGCTTGGAGCCCCAAACCATTCGCAAAGCGCAGAGAATAAAACATTATTTCTCGCCTTTGGAATGACGAGACTGAGAGAAAATGAACGGATCTCTCGGTTTAATTTTGGTGGATTTTTTTCCCGCGCGCGCGCTCTCGCCTGCACTCGGGGCTGTTATTTCGCATTCCGCGCCAGTGTGTTGAAACTGCCATAGGACTTTGGTTTGGGTAGGGGAACTGGCAGAGTTATTACAAGTCAATCCGATTTTATGTGGGTTAATTTGTTCTCCTTCATGCCAAGGAAAACGGTTTTTGTTTGATTAAGTTTCGCTAGGGCATGAATCGCAGACCGGGTTTGTGTCGCGGTAATGAAATGGAAGAATGTTGAATGAGCTTTATAATTTGCCAACGGTAAAGTGACCTCGTTAAATGTAAAAAAAAAATGGCAGTGAAGTTTATCTTTTTTAATGCAGATAATGTCATTTGAATATTTTTCATTTCCATATTAGCCTCACAGACCACAAATGTACTTAATTGTAAATTGTTTTGCCTGTGGTGAAACTATTTGAAAATTACAACAGACTTCCACTTAAAAATCTACAGATGATATTAAAAATGCCAAAAAAATAGAGGGTTTCAGCCTGTTTTTACCTTTTTTTTCTACGGAAACTTTGCCTCTGGTTTGATACAAAACCGACTGGGTCGACTATTAATTTCATTGTTTATGTAAAGCTGCTCACTTTGCTGAAATGCCACAATCCACGTAAACACAGCAAGCTTGTATGTGGCAAATATGTGTTCATAGTTCAAGGCAGGTGTCTTGTACAAACAAGCAATTACCAGGAAGATGCACCGAGCGGAGTTTAGCTCGTCTCTTTGCTTTCTCAGCAAGAGCATCATGCTCCATCTATCTCCCCGCCTATTTGAAAAATAAACTCTGGGTGTTGTTTCTCACAACACTTCACGCGAAGGTGGCACATGCATCGGTTATACAATCCGCCAACTTACCTGCGCACTCGGTGAGAAGGGTGAGGAGGAGCGTTATCACAGGGAGCAGGGAGGAAGTAGTCCTGACGGGCATCATGATGAAAGATGTGTGTGCTTCAAGTCTTGGTACAGAGACCCAAGGAGGACCGATGATGATGATGCAGAGGGTGTCAAGAAAGCAGATCGGGGTTAGCTGAGACACGCTCTCTCGGATAAAACTGCTTCTCGACCCTTGAGCTGACCCGCGTTGGCACGTTGAAGACGGCCCTACGGGGCGAATAGGAACATGAGATCCAGGGATGAGACCCAAGATGAACCGGGGAGGATGGTGGAAGGGATCGGGATCAAGTTTCCTGGATTAAGGGATGCGAGCTGCTCACACTGACACCACCGTGGAGGAGTAATCAACGGAGATGCCTACACTGATGCAGTTTTCTTAGACTGCGTGTGATAATTCTCCTGGTGGAGTTAATACTGTGGATGGGAGATGTGGCACGCGGGCTAAGCTCCTGCTGATGACGATGATGATGATGACGATGATGAGTAAGATGCTCTGGTGTGCCTCTGGGTATCTGGGTCCGTCAAGGAAGCAGTCAGCGATGGGTTTAATTGATAACAACTGATTCCATCGGTCACCGTCGTCTTGCCAACCACAGATGCCTTCCTCAGATGTTCCTCTCAATCCAAACTTGTCTCATCGAGGAACCAGAACCCCTACTCCCTGACAACTTCCCGAAGAACTGCCTTGGTTTTTACATCAGTGGTGTTCGTATCCTACAGATTTCACCAGAGCTGTAGATGATGCGTTTAGCACGACTGAGCTCCCAATGCTTACAAAGTTGTGGCCTTAAGACACATGGCTGCAGGCTGCGCTGTTATACCCAATCCACCCTATATAGTCCCGTTAAGCCGGCTTGACTGATGGACTGGTGTATGGAAGCAGACGGGACGCAGAACAATCTCAATCAAATTCTCCAACAGCAAAGCTCATCGCGTGCATCCCAAGTCACAACCTACAAAACAAATCTCGTGTGAGCTGGTGGCAGCTAATAATGCAAAATAATATATAGGCTGTACATCCACAACAACAGAAAACATCTGCTCTGTGCACACACAGTGCAGGGCCATCCGCACTTTCTGAATGAGCGAACGAGGCGATCGCTTCACAATTTATCACCGTAGTACTGCTTAATAATTATTTCATTTTCGAGGGTGGTGCGTGATTGCGCGTGCGCATATCAGAAAGGACGATCCCATCCCATACACGGTGAATGAAACTCGCCACAGGGCTAGTATAGTGCTATTGACAAGCCTGGCGTTGTGGCCCGCTTGCGATCGATGTTTCGACAGGTCTCTTACCAGTGATCGGAATCATACACGAGAGAGTACCATACGCTGGGATAGAGGTTAATTTAAATTTGCACAGCCGGCTTATTGTGTTGGTAATTGATTTTTGACGATGGGTATTAAACAATGGTGCATTCAGGCAATAGAACAATAAGGCGATACGGCTACACAATAATGGTGCCAGCATATTTCAAACAGAAAGTTGTATTTTATACATTTGTAAACTGGTACCACACCATAAAGTTCGTCATATTTATTTTGTGTTTGCATGAAGAGTATAATTTTCAAATCTTACTCTAAATTCATTTAGAGTCTTCCTGTGATTATTGTATCCGAATATTAAATAAAAAGAAAATGAATAGACCATATGAAAGCTAAGGGACCCAATTGACCTATTTTTTTGTAGCTAAAAATGTCTAACGTTAATGATAAACGTGTGCCAATCCATACAAAATGTCTGACCTAAAAACCTTATTCTTTCCCACATTTCAAGCCTCTTGTTGTCTGTACAAACCTGATCAAAATATGTGATCCCTGTAGAGTTTTGTCTCTGCGAAAAACAAAAGGAGATATATGGTTAATTTGCCCCTCTGTATTTTATCATTTCGGAAAAATGCTTACAATTGTTAATTGATTTAAATTGACGTCTTGAAATAATGAAATAAGGAATATACACTGAAACGAGGGGTATACATTCTGTGTATATGCAATGGTCGAGTCAAAATGCCCGTGCCCAAGAAACAGAATATTTATTTTTAGTGGCCTCACGGAAGGAAGATGGTCAAGAAGAAAGAGGAAACGTGGGTCGAGGAGAATGGAGAAGGCACCATCTTCGTTTTGGAGAAAGATTTGGTCATCTTGATTAACAATTGGGTTCAAACATCTGCTTATCTGTTCCGGTATGCCGTGGTCTCTCTGTCATTCATTTTGAAATGAATAATAATAATAGATTACACATTTGCTGCTGTGCACTGCTCATTTGACAGGGTTGACAACATTTTCTGACTACTGATATATAACAAAATACGGGTTTAATAATGGTAACATTATGGTAACATTGAATTATTTAATTGAACTTCCGTTCTCTGTTTTTATTTACCGGCTAAAATAATACACTAGGCGTATTTTACGCCATACAACATTCATGACGAAACTTGAGTCATGAAATAAACCGGTTAAAAAAATCCATAACATCCGAAAACCTCAGCGGATCATTTTCCAGGTTCATGTCCGACCATTCATGTCTTTGCCCTCGTCCCATCGGTCTAGCCACACGGCTGAAAACACAGCGATTGCTAAATTAATACCGAGCAAGATATTCATTGACTGAAGGACAAATAATCGAATCCGACGCATCTTCATCCGGCATCGTCTTGGCCCGACCTCTTCATCCCTAAGCCGTGGTCGACAGCGGAGGTTTTCCTGTACGTGGAGAGACAAACTACCGATTTGTTTTCTTTAGGGATGAGAGGAGTTTTCTTTATCCGTGAATCATGCTTAATATACCCATCAATATTTGGCTCACGGTCGTCTCAAGATGCGACGAGGTATAATTGATATGATGCGGGAGGATTGTCGTCGTGGTAGACCATGTATGTATGTATCATCCGGTGTGTTCTTTGCCTTGTATTTGAAGGCCAAGAGTACCAGAAATGAGCAGCAGAATATTGTGGTACATGGCCAGTCGAATTTCAATAAAGTAATTTCGGTCATCTACCCGTAGTTCTCCTGCACATAAATACACGAAGGGGCAAATATTGAGAACTGATTACCTCGCAACCAAACCACAAAATAAACAGGTTAAATCATCAGCCTGATGCGTAGCCCTTTTTCAAGCAAAGTGATAGACGGACAAACGGATGGACTGATAAAATATTTAACTGAGATAATGTATTAAGACATCATATAATATGACAGGGTGGGGTTTTCGTTGGGGGATGTGTTCCCTACTTGTGTAAACATCATTTCCTCAAATTGTAAACTCTCCATGACATGTTCTGCCTTTGAACTTTAGATTCTTAAGTACCCATTTCAAGCTCAAATATCAACACTCTGCAATATGAGCTGTTTAAACGCCAAACACGAAACTTTGTAAAGTGGTGTTAAAGTCATTGGTTTGTTATTGCCCACAATTATTACAGGAATTATTTCATGGCTTAGAGATTCCCAGATTTGATTTACTCGGAATTCGACGGGGAATTACTCTTCGGAAACTTAATACCTGGTATACACACTTGGCTACAGGTATAGGGTCATATAACATGCCAATTACAAATTCTTTGAGTGATTTACGATGCGTGTGCCTTCGTCATCAAGCCATACAGCTGTGTGTACATGCAACTGCCAAGCTGTCTAATTAGAAAGCCAGCGTCCTCTCCTCTGGATATTTTTGAAACCGCACCTCTCAACACCTTTGGTGGACTAGTTCACCCGATACTAATGAAGTATTCCTTGAGAAAGAGAGAGGAAGAAACAAGGGGCGGTGCATGGGGGGAAATTTGGAGTTCAAGTCCTCGTTCGGTATTCACCGTGAATCGGCGCGAGAGCTCAACCGTGATAAACGAGGGGATCGCCGGCGGGCATCTACCCCCTTTCCTCCCCCGGCCCCCTCAAGCCTGTAGTGTTCAGCAGCACTGGCTACACCGCGTGTTTCTTATTCCATGAGAGGAAACCAAGCGAAACGAGTAAATTCCCCCAAATTGGTTTTCCCAGTCCGAATTACCATTGTGAATGAGCCGGGCAATCCAGTTTGTATCGAGGGCCTGGATTAAGTTGACAAACACGCGCAGCTTGTGTTTGGCAATTAGCTTATAATCCAGTACAAATATACGCGTAAGTTAATTTGCATTATTTTGATACTTTACGATGCGATATTTATTTCAACATAATTACATGGATACTTCGTTTTGTTATTAATTGTGATAGGCCTATATTATAATTTGATATTGCTTGGATTGATAAACCAGCCGTGTTGTTTGGCGATATCCCCTTATGTTGCATAGTTGAGAGTTGAATCGTATACGCGTATCGTGCCACGGCATTATTGTGGTAGACCTCCTGTCGACGCTGCTCCTTCAAAGTGTTATGTGGCCATATACGTGATAGAGAAAGATGCACCATCAAGTGATGAGAATGCATGTGCAAAGATTCTGCAACCGTCATGTTATTGGTGTGGAGATGGCAAATGTATCTTTTCAATTAATTTCCGTTAACGTAGGAATGCAATCTTGAGGAATTTCCTAATTGCTGCTCATAGGAATGGCAAATCTACAAATATGTGTACATTATATGCATAAGCGTACCATCAATGCACAATAATAATAATAATATTCCGTATGAAATAGCACCGTGTCCCCAACTGCAATGGCTCCGCCCACCGCCCCTCCCCACCCCCTCCTCCCCACCCCCTCCCCAATCCAGACAACATACTGCCTTGCGTGGAAACCACGCCCATCTCCACATCTTTCTTGTGGTATCTTCTGTATATTTTCCTATATATGTGTGGGAATGGCAGTTTCCGACCCGATCCACAGAGATTTTTCAAGTTTACCAATGTAACTTTTCTTGTTTAGGTTCTTTCTTTAGTAATTACCATGACATTGGCTTCATGATTTGCATCCATTTCATTCATAAATTCATTCGATCCGGGCAGGTCTTAATGGCATTCAGCACCTGTGCCGATTTACCCCCTTGTCTCCCAAGGGAAACACACCTGTCGTCTGGCTCATGCAAATGAGACAGGTTGCCTGAACGGACGGTGTTATCAAACATGTATACAGGTTAATCCAATTTTTAAACACTTACAAATGTTTTAAACTGTTTAAGACTATAAGAAAGCTAGCTTGTGATTTTTTACCCATTGGCTTTAAATTTGAGTTCCCACTATGGGTTATCTACAAAATCTCAAAACTGGATTAAAAATTTTCTGCACTTCATAATTATGTAAAAGGAATTTACTTTCGTAATGGTTCCAGTAGCTTCTGGATTTCAAACAAACTGACTTCAATCATGATGACATCTTACATGTGAAATTGTCCTGGTCAAATATATACGGTAGGCCCAATTAAATTTAAGTCCAGAAAGGCAGCTGTAACTGAATCTGTTGGTTTTGTGTCAGATAAAGCTAGGTAAGTGAAGACAATAAAGTACAGTGACTTGTAGCTCTTGTTCCGGGTAGCGGAGATAGTCAAACAATATGAAAATGTCAGATTACGATTGTCTTCAATTAATTACCATCAATAATTGATCTACTTGCCGCTTGCATGTGGTGGCAAATTGAAAAATGATGGTGCTGTCAAGTTACACACAGCAAAAAAGGAGCGCAAGCTTGCATCAATTTCTCAATGATTAAGATGATGAATAGCTGAACAAGCGGAGGAAAATGTATCTAGAGTTTACGTCCAGCGTGTTTGCACAGCTCAGCACCGTGAACGACGAAAAAATATCGCGTCTTCTCTGGCGCCGTCTGAAGATCGAACTACTCGCCGGAAACGATTTCTCAATTTCCTTGTCGTCATTTCGGGGGCGAGAATGTTACTTTATTTTCCTCTGCTCATTTTGGGTCATCTCAACAACGTGTGGGAGGGACATGACACTCACTTGTAGGAGTTGACGTTCCTAGCATCTGTGATGATTGAACATGTCTCCCCCCTGGCTGGCTGACCAAGTTTTTAGCTGGGTTAATTGCTAACTTCTCTTTACCCCGTTCTCCTGTGCTCTTTAATAGATGTATAAAGTATGACACACATTTACTAATGAAACTCGGCCGCGCTCGATGAGGAGAAATATAGAACATGCAGGTACTCGGGGGCTGATATAATTTTTAGGACACTAACACTTATTTTCTGAAATGTTTGTATCTTCAGGGGATGTACTGCCCCAAGCCTCCCTGCCTTAATTCAATATGCAAACTGTGCTTCCGGTTATTACAGTAAGACAAATTCAGGTTTTTAAGTTTAAAAGTGACTTCCAATCTCTATGATGTGGGAAATACACAGACGAAAAACGAAAGATGTATTGTACTTAACACAAACAGAGTCTCTCACAAAATGTCAATGTTCTATTACAAAACGAGAACTGTTTCTGGAGTTGCTACCCCTTTAATTTTACTTTACCGAGCTCTGTTTCCGACTTCGAAAACTTTTCGAGCAGAGGCTTCAAGCAGTAACAGTTCCAACCGATGTTTTTCCCACCTACATAAAGTGCAGCAAGCTTGTGCTCCACCGAACCTGCTCCCTTGTTTCACAGAGCTTGTTTACCACCTCAGAAGAATGTTTCAGATATGTACGTCTGTAAAAAAAAAAGTCCAGCTTCCTTCCGGGAGAGATTTTAAAGTGTCTACTTGGTAATCTTCACCTGTTAAATTACTGACAGCTTCAAGACCCCCATCTCGAGCCAAGAAAGCCACGTGTCCCTTGTCCATCTCGTCAACTTGACGGCAAGACCACGGAGCTCTCAGAACCCTTGTAAAACAAGACCTCGTTCCTCTCTAGTGATCACACCCCCCCCTTCGTACGAGCCAAGTGTTTCTACAAAGACTTGCCATAAATTATTCCTGCGTCCATTACCGGGCGAAGTACGCAGAGCACGCTCCCAAGAAGGTGTTGGAGAAACTCGCTGGAGTAATTATTCTCATCCGCGGAAGAAAACTTGCTCCTTTTTACTCGATCAAGAGGGTGCGATCTCTTGCGCGCGCTCTAAAAGTGCACGTATGTCATTATTCCCATCGATCCGACGGAGAGGAAAAAATGGCGCTAAAAACTTGGCGCGTTATAATGCCCGTTCGGTGTGGCATCTGTCGATCGCTGCCACTCCATCGTGCATTCGCGAGTAGCCTAAGTAAATATCTCCGGCAATTCTTGACTTTTATTCTAACACCGAAACCAGGAAGAGCTCTGTCGTATTGGGATCATGTTTTATGCAGGGAGATCGATACAGTCTCTGGAGGAATACTGTGGAATATTGTTGCCGTGTGTACGAATCAAGTAGTAGAAGTGCTGCAGACAAAACAAAAAAACGCACACACTGTGTATCTCACCGTCATATCCTTACTAACGCAGTTACTTGCATCCGTGGAATAAATCTTAATAAATTTCGTAGAATTTGTCACTTTTGGATTCTTACAGGCGCCATTGAACAAAGACATTGATAAAATGGGGGAACAGTCATCATAGGGCTGGATTGCTCAGTTGCACGGTAGAGCGCCGGTACGGGTGTTACGGGAGTCGCAGGTTCCAACCCCGCTCCAGTCAATTTCTTTCAACTTTTAAATTATTTCTTGAAAACGGATTATTTTTATCGTTACTGAAGTATTCCCAAGTAGATCCCTTGTCTTCAATGTCAATCTTTAATCATCTGTTTACAGGCAATAGGGCCTATGCCTAGTCTTGATGTTATACGTTTGAAAAATTCGTTTTGTGACTGTCTTGTAAAGTGTCTCAGTTGAGCCCAACAAATCTATTAGTCCAAAACTTTTCCCCAGACATTTTCCCTTAAACGACAAAAACAAGGCAACAAATCGATTCAGCCCAACGATTAGCCAGAAACTCGAACCACACCGGACAGGTTTTTACACCAACCAAGTCATGCGCGCTCATACCTCCCTCCTACTGCCTCCATCTTTATCCTTCATCTTGTCTTGAACCATTGCAGACCCACGGATGCATTCGTTACGAGTCATCTCAGGGGATGTTTGGTGGAGACAGGTCTTACTTGCATTCTTTCCCCTGGATCGAGAGGAGGTCTGGCCCAAATGGATGCAGACATCACTGCAGCGTGCTTTTCCACACTTTGGTTGACAAAGTTGATTCCGCAGGGAAGTCAAATTGATTTCGAGTCATGTCCTGTAATATTTGAAGAAGAGATTTCGCAATGTGTGAAAACTTGTGTGGTATTAAGTGTCGGAGGTCATAGAACCTTATACCGGAGAAAACATTTACCAGGTCTGTGGAACAAACGCATGGTTTTATAGTATCTTTACCATTTGGGTGGATCTATGATCTCACGAAAGGGATCAATTTTTGTGAAGGGTGTATGCCGCGCAGTACACTAAGAGTTATAAACATGCTACTTCAACTTCACTTCTTAAGTTCATTTCCAAATGAATAAAATTGATGCAAACTGTTTCATGACTGAATTGACCTGAAATGTACAAATCAAAAAAAGTTGGAGGGCCTAACAGGATTTTTTTATAGCAGGACCATATTTAAACTGTAACATAGGTTGTTAGCACGCCCGTAATTTATACCGTGTTGCCGTTCTCTGACCTTCCTCTCCCACTTTTACCTAAGCAGCCCCTCCCCGTTGTACCGGGGCGTTACCCCAGCAGGCACCGGTCCATCTGGTCATTTACCGGGATCAGTTTCTTAGAAATGTCGGTGAATATTCTTCTTTCGGTTCCCTTGTCCCAATGTCACTGGCGATAGAAGATGGCACACGGTGCTTTCACTTACCCCTCATCCAACCGTTTTTTAAAACAAATGTCCCCAGAAGTGTATAATGTACTTGTTAAATATGTTTCAGATAATTTGAGAAGATCCATTCAACGTTTTTTGAACACGCGGTTTATTAACTCTTTGTACAGTATAAAATACATGCACATTGGCAATAGGGAAAAGTGCACTGTACTTCTAATGTATCGTAAATCATAAACAGTATTATTCTCGAGGTCATTTTTGATGAGGGATTATGCAAATTTCTCAGCTCAATCTATATTGCCTGCCATCATAAAGTCCACTCATCGAAGCTGGCAAAAAGTAATGTGTGGTTCAGCAAGGACGATGTAGAAAACTCGACAATGAGATATTATAGTCGCCAGTGATTTTTTTGCTAAGGCAATCAACAATTTTAAGCAAATAGTTTAAACCAAGGTCTGCCATATTTGGGTGTGTGTGTGTGTGTGTATTATGCTAATAAGAAATATACATGCGTTCATGAAAACTTTGGCATACATGTAAACCAATGGAGCAGGGCCGTATTGCGTATATACTGCCCTCTGTTGACATCGCGGGAGTACAGTCGCACTATGTTGAAGAAAGTGGGAAGCAAGACCCGAACTAAAATAATCGCAACGAACAAAATGCATTAAATTGAAACCATGTGGTATAAAAAGTAAACGACTTAATGGGGTTGAATTCGCAGGGGGCATTCCGTGTGCCTCGCGTCCTGGAGGGGCATAACAATGGCTTTTTAAATAAAACCCCATTGGCCTAGAGCGGGTGGTCCCCAGCCCACCCTCTCCCAGTTACTGCTTGCCAAGAGAAGGCTCGGAGACCCTTTAGCAGATGGCAAAAATATTGTCCTGGACTCATTGTGTTTGAAAATAAGGGTTGAACCATGGAGGAATTCCTTCCTCCATGGTTGAACTGTACTATTCATTATGCGTGGCCATCAACTTGATCATGGAGGAACTAAAACTTCCGTAACAAATCTATTAATTTCTATTTAACACAAAGGCTGATAATATCCGCAAACGTTCAAAGGAAAACATGTGGTGCTGTAATCATTTCATAATTGGATTAAACCTCAAAATGCCACCGCCGATCTTGAGTGACTGGCAGAACAGCCACGAGCCTCCGTGTGCACATTAAAGATCAAATAACCCGATACTATTGAGGGGGTTTTGGTCCAAAAGGGACTTCCCCTAAGTTGAGGTACCAACCACCGATATAATGTTCCAAACCAACACGTGGGTCCGTTTAACACCTCCAACTCGGGGAGGTAATTGATGTTCTTGCGGTTTCAGCTGAATCACCACGTAAAAGTAGAACATCGCCCGCAAATCGGTTGGGACATCCCCCAAATTAAGACCCTGATTCACCGAAAGCTACATTCTTGCGTGCTGGTGACTCGTCGGGAAAATACCACCCACTTTCCGTACACGCACTTTTGGAAATATGGTTTAACAATGATGTCAAAAAACTGGACGTGGTTTCTGCGTTAATGGTTTCCTTGACCACAACGCAAAGGAAGCTGACAAATTCTACTATTGACGACTATGTGCACAAATCCAGGAAGGGAACTAAGTATATAAACACGTGTTGCAGACATTCGTCCATGGAAAATGCCTCATTTCTGGCATCGGCGTTGTTTTATTCCTATCGCGAGTCCCGACCGCATTTCAAATTGAGCGTGGCATCAACAAGTGTTGATGAGACACAATACTTCACCACGTGATTCAGATTTATTCAACCAGGGACGCATGAAGCTAACAGTGAATCACCAAGCAAATTAACAATCGGTGAAACTTTAAAAGTTCCACGGCTAACTGAAAAAAAATTCAGTGGTCCCGTTTTCCACTGAAAGGTTTTACCTAGAAAACCCCGAGCCCGAGTTGGAAGTGCAGTGAACTCAACTAAGCGCACATACGCTCAAGTGTTTGTCTTCTGGGCAAGTTTGTGTGTTACTTTTCAGCGGTGGGCAAGGGTTGATCATAACAGTGCGGTCAGAATGGATAATGCGGTTACGTGTATTGCTAATTGCATCAAATGGTTGCCTCGTGTGGTGATGGTCTGGGTAGCGTTGGCGGCTATGTACCTCCAGATAAACGCTCTTCCTTCACAGGTGAGTTCTAATTTATAACTTTATGGTCAGGAGTTTTATTTGGTGCAACTTTTCTTTACGATATTTCGTAGCAAACTTTGAACACTTGTATTGTACGGCACTGTATATGTCGTGACAGTTGTGTTACGCATGCACAAAGGCAGAATTCTAGTACAGGTGTCAACACGTGTTTACAGGTGCTTACACCTGTCTCGCCTGAATCATGTCATCAACATTGTTGATTGATTAATTGATTGATCCTTTGCACTTATTAAGCATTTTTTTCTTGGACTAAAATGAAATATGTGAATCTTTAATGGATGCCATCGTTTTACGAGTAGGCCTATTGTGCTTTATTATGTGTACAATTTTCCTGTAAAATTCATCTTGATTGTCTGAAACTTTTGAATACGGCGATAAATTGAAAAGGTGCTTGTATGTGCACTGACCCAAATTTGTGTTTATAACGAGACAACTGCACAGCACTGAAGAGTGTTTTCCACATGCATTTCTGACAAACGGCAGAAAGTGTGGCAATAGAGGCTAATTTCAATAACCCAGCAGGAATCCTTTGTGAGAGATTGGCCGAAGCTCAGAGGACCCCATCGAATAGAATGACCTGGCTTTCACTGAATTGCAACTTCCAAGAAAAAGGAAGGAATTATACACAATTATTTTTAACTTGCAGAAGGTTGTTTTGCTGTTTCAGTGTAATACATTTATAGGCTGGTAGTATTCCTTTCTCTTTGGATTAATTTGAAGACCAAGACAGTGTAACCATATTCCTGAACCAGGTTGCAAAGGATGTGACTTGGAAGAGTTTATCCTTATGGCTTATATTATTTAAGAGGGGATCCTGGGAAAGTTGGGAAAGAAAACTTTCTTTTTACCTTCTGTTGTTTTTCAAACACTTGTCAAACTTTTTTTTACCCCCCCCCCCCACATTGCAAAAAGAAATGAACGATAAGTAGTTTTAAAAAATTTTGATACAACTGGAACATTTTGATTTTCAATGGAAAACTTAGGGAAGGTAATTTTTTTTTGAGAAACGCCCTATTTAAAAAAAAAACACAGACCGGGATCTAAACAGTCACAACCGCAGGGTGAATACATTCTAATTGGTGTACCGTTGGTCTTACAGATCCCTCCATCACTGACATATGGAATGATGCAAGTCAAGACAATTGAAGACCTTCTACAGTTTCTGGATCAACAAGGTATGTACATCTCATCAGTTCTGATATATAAGAATATTGTACAACCAGCAGTATATATTGTGAAGAAGAATTATTTAATTTCCTGGCCCAGCCTGTTGTTGGCACTATAGAGATGTAGTAGTTGACATTACTCAATATGCCTTTTCATAAAAATGAGAAACTGACTCAATTTTTATTTGTCGGCCTTCGATGTTATATCTTGAAGGAATTACAATTTAATTTGCAATTAAATACAATAATTCTTTCCGTTGAGCTATTCATGTCTCCAGTGCAGAAATAAAAGTCATATTTCTCCCATATTTAAATGAACTGAGGTACAATTGACCTACTTATGTCAGGATCCATACTTGTCTTTTCCTGTCCCGATATCCTGTCTATACAGACATTGCTAGACTGTAGATAGCTTTTATAATCAACCGTTATGATGGCATTTTGGTATTTTGCCAAGACATACTTTCCTGAATTTATTTTTCCTGTTAATTGTCTGTGTAGTTGTCAATGCAGATGAAAGTATCCTTCTATATAAGTGTCATATATCTGTTGTAAAGGGATAAGGGAAAAGCAGGAACAAAGTTGCCAAATGCTGAGTACAGAAAAAAACGCTCATTTACATATCCAGGAAGCTGAAATCCTTTAATCAAAGTTTAATGTGGACACTAAAAATCGGATAAGTGAATGAGTGAAATTCATTCAATCTCATTTTTACTCAAGTTTTATCTGGATTAATTCTCTTTTGGGGGAGTATTTCCATCAAAACATAGAGTGATTTTCACTCTATATCCTCTAAATAGTCCCTATATTCACTCTTTGAAATTGAGAGTACTATTGCAAATAAAGTTAAGAAATAAACCTAAAGTATGATACATCTGTGATTTTTACTTTATGTAGAACCGCCTTGTATTTAAAGGATGACTCAATTTGTTATGCAATGTATGTATCTATTTATCGTGGTCCCTGAACAATCCAGGGTCCTCTTCATTCTGACAACCTTGAAAAACGTAACCATTTCCTGAAAAAACAGAAACTCCAGTTTTGATCGATGATGTAATACAACTAATTAATGGACATCGCGTGCCATTTTTCATCTATTCATAGCCAAACAAGTCATACCTGGCCAAGACAAAAACTTTGGCTGGGAATTTCTGGAAGAGAAACTGGACTCGGGAGTCACCGACGATGAGGACGAAGATGACGATGACGACGACGGGGATGATGACCATGACGGAGATGACAGTGGATCTGATGGCAGACATAAACCAGTGCCGTCTGTGTTATCAGACCACGGCCCTTCCAAAACCAAGCTCACTCCTGTACAGTTCTGTAAGTATTCAATACAATTGCCTTGTTAAAGGGAATATACATCATTTGCTTTTGCTGTAATTTTCAAATGGATGGAACTGGGGGGTTGGAAATATATAGCAAATATAGTTACACTGACTTTTTTGAGGTTTTGGGTTCGAAAATGCTATAAAAACCAAGAAAAACAATCATTTTCCTGTAGTCTGGTTCCCTGACTCCATATAAGAAGAAACAGAGCAGTTTACATACATTGGGGAATTGTAAGGTCAGGGAACCAGTCTAGCTGGCTCGTACCCGTTCATAGGTTTGTAATCGATTGCAAACAAGTGCGATTGTCAATTGGGGTCAGTATTTGAAAAAAAGCCAGTTTTTTCCAATGCTGATCGGCCGATCAGCATTGGAAAAATACCACTTTTCTTGAAAATGACAGTATACCAGGTGCCATGATTTTACAGGATGCTTTACACTGTCATTCACTAACACTCCAGCAAGGTATTTCAAAATGATTTGGTAGTTTTATTTTTTGATGTTTGCAAATGTTGTATTTTCCCTTTAACATCTTAACTTCTGAAGACTTAACAAGTTAATTCCTTGATTTCAAATTTCATGAACTTCAACAAATTTAATGAACCTGTTCAATCGGTTTCACAGTCTTCAATCTTTCTTTTTCTTTTTTTCTGAAAACTCTGTGAGGATTGGTAAGCTTGACTTCTCTTAATTTTCAATATTTTTCGGGTCTTTTGTTTTCTAAATAATCTTTCTAAACTCTGTTAGGGCTTATGATCACTCTAATTCTACCAACAAAATACCAAAGTTAATCGATTTTTTTCCCAACAAATTGTCAGCTTCCGCAGACAGTAATAGAAGACCTGTTCAGGAAATTGCCCATGCAAATAGCGACCAGTCCTCACTGGGTTTCAAAATAAGTAAGTAGACAAGACAGAATTTAATAAGAATAAAATAGCCAAAAAAAGTCAAAATAGACAAAAAATGAGTTATCAACTGGAAAAATCTAATTATTCGAATTGTTATACATATAACGATAATGAACAGTTGATTTTTAAAATAATCGGTATTGAATTCTTGAAGTCAAATTTTGACTTTAAATGCCAATTCAGTTTTTCTTAAAAAAACCCACATAGTTAATACATTATATAAATATATTCCTTTTCCACCACATGCTTGTTCTTGATTTTGTTCAGCTGATGTAGCACCCCTCCCCGGCTGTATCCCCAGAGAAACGGTGGTTCAAGTCCTCCCCGATGCCAGCGAGTCACAGGTGATGTACTGGCCGGGTTGTGTGACCGTCAAACGCTGCGGAGGTTGCTGCAATAGCGATCTTCATGAATGCCAGCCAACCAGATCAGAAATTATACAAGTTAAGGTAGGAGAACAAGTTACCATTGGGAGAAGGGGTGTGAAGTTTTCAGTTGAACACAGAAATTGACTGGAGCAGGGTTTGAACCTCCAATTACCGTTCTGGTGCTCTACCGACTGAGCTATCGAGCCATGGTTCCCCATTTTGTCAATGTCCTTGTTCAAGGGGTGCTAGTCAGAAGCCATAAACCTGTATACACCATGTAGCCAGGGATCACGCCCAAAGTCACGATACCAGCAACATTAGCAATGCTGCAAACCTGGGAAACAGCAAATGGTTTATTTGTAGGCCTAAAGTATGTTACAAGAAGGACATTTTTCCCCAAAAACTTTGATCTCCTAAATCCTTTTACTTGTGTAGCTCATCTTAAAAAGAAAAATTTAATATCTCTTTCCCCAAGCTTTTTGGCAAAAGTATAAAAGAGGGACCAATGTGTATGAACGAAATGGAGATAAAACCCTCCTCTTCATCCCTGTCGTGATTTGTTATAAGGATCTCATCAGTCAGCTGACAGCAGGGTTTGAGGTCGAGTGGATAAGACGTCTGCACTAGTTCTCAAAAGCTTGCAGTACCTCTCTTATTATCAGATTGGAATTGCCCAGTTGTTTCCAGCAAGCTAGTGGTTGAGTGGTTCGCAGACATCTGCACTACTAAGCAGTTTTTATTACAAGCTCTTAAACCCTTGGCTATATTGGATTCTTATCTGCCAACCGACCCAGGCAAGCTCAGTAGTCAGGGTGTTAAAACATCTGCACTAATAAGCAGTTTTTCTTACAATCTCTAAGAAAGTACCGAGCTTCCAGCGATTATAACAGTACGTGGGTGTGAAGGACATGCCTAAACTCTTTTCTTTTCTTTGGGTGCATTTTGTTGCATTATCCAGGTTGTCCGAATGGAATACACCCCGCGAGCCAGCCGCTTTTTCCACTACGACGGCGTGGTGGCTAAGAACATGACCAATCACACGGAGTGTAGCTGCCAATGCAAGATTAAGCCAGAGGATTGTGACCCGGCCACCCAGGTCCATAATAACTGCCAGTGCCAGTGTAGGAAGTTTGTCACTTGCCCGGCAGGAAAGCGGTGGGATCCTATTAGGTGTCAGTGTTTATGCTCCGCTTCGCAACAAGAAAGGTACAAATTTAAAAGCGTTATCAAAGCAGTGGCTGTGATTTCAGCTTTTGCTTCAACTTGGAGGACTTATGGTTAAAGGGAATATACAACATTTGCAAACATTGGAAAACAAAACTACCAAGTTTTTACAAAATACCTTAATAGGATGTAAATGAAAGTCTAAAGCATCCTGTAAAATTATGGCACCTGGTGTGAAGTCATTTTCAAGAAAAGTGGTATGTTGTATAAATTTCCAACGGTGGTCAGCTGACCACCGTTGGAAAAACCTAACTATTTTTCAACTACTGCTCCAAATTTACCTTTTTTTCAGTCCAAATTTTGTTTGCTATTGGTTACATGTTCATGAACGGGTGCAGGCCAGCTAGACTGGCTTCCTTACCTTACAATTTTCGGGCATCAATAAATTGATTCATTTCATCTTTAGTGGAGTCAGAAACCAGACTACTTGAACATTTTTGTTTTTCTGTTTTTCCAGCATTTTCGCACACAAAACTTCAAACTTGTCAGTGTAACAGTATTTGATCTATTATACTAACCCCTCAAATAGTTCATTTCTGAAAATTACAGCAAAAGCCAATGATGTACATTCCCTTTAATGCTCTACTTCAAGACCATAAAATAATGTAACATGAGAATAATTTTATTTTTTGCGGGGGGGGGGGGGGGGGGGGGTGTTTAAGATATTCAGGGCTCTGCACATTCAGCAGTGTAGCAAGAATTTTTTTCATGGGAGGTGGGGATTGAAGCTGGAGCAGAGTGAGACGAAGCCACACCCACATACAGCACACAAATTCTGGAATTTGTATTCCTGTGGAGACATTTCTTTGTTCTCGTGTAGTAAAGTTTTCGAGTTTGAAATTGAAGTTTCAAAATGCTCTTATTTTAACCAGAATTAATTTCCTGGGCTGAAATTTGGACTAAATATCCCTTTTCTAAAACTCTTCCATTTGCGACGGATCAACCTACCTTGGAAATTCCTAGTTTTTGAGTAAAATCCATATATCTATTTCGTGAAATTCTTGTGGAGACGTATTCATCTATAGAAATGTTCTTCTGGAGACGTATACAATCTTTTGTTCCCTATTGTGTTCATGTCTCCGTAAGGTAGTAAATTCCAGCACACCCTGTGCATGATGGGTGTGTGTAGATAGCCCATTGATAGATGTGTGACTACACTCCCTTCTTTCGCCCATCCATTTCCCTCTCCTCCCTTTTTGATTTTTTTTTTCGGAGGGTGGTTTTTTTTTTGTGTGGGGGGAGCATATGTGGGGGTGTTTAAACAAAATAGCTTAGAAAAAATAAACTAGTACAATGTTGTCAAATGGTACTAGAATGCAACTAGTTAAAATTTTGACCTGAGCACATTTATCCACTTTTGTCTGAATAAACTTTGTAAAAAAAAATACCATTCACAAAACAGATTGTCCTTGACTATAATTGAACATAAAAATGGATATTTTCAAAAAGAATTTCTTTCCACATATATCTCTTGAACAGCAAGGCACACAAACTAATAAACATGTCACATCTGTTAAGACATTTTAATCCATGGATACAAATTCAACATGTACACCTGTTAACAGGTCACAATAAAAATATATTGCCTTCAGACGACCTCTATTTTATTACCTAGCCCCCAAGAACACTTCACACATAAGCCAACCTTTCAACCATCAGTAAGATCATGAATTCTATCAACTTTTCCAACTTGAGCTTCACCAAAAGTTCAAAACCTTTTCCAGTTAACCCTTGCACTCAGGGGACGCTCCTCTAGCAGTGCCGGCCAGTGGGTTGTTTGACAGATGTGCGTAAATCGAGCATCAAATTGGGTCGATTGTCTGTGTGCTCTATTGACCCACACCCCAGCAACCTTTGACATTACTCATTCTTTTTACCGGATACAAGACTTTTGGTGGGCCCTTTCTGATATTTATGCATTTATTTCTAGAGAACAATCCACTCTGATTGTATTCAAGCAGTTGTAACTTAACAGCTTTGGCAGTTAAGTTGGAAAAAGGACAAAACAGAACAAAATGTTCAATTTCATCCTAATTTTATTATTTATAGGTCTTGCAGTTTGCCCTTCTTTGCAGGAATATAACTTCCCATGAGCATTTTGCAGTGTCCTCCACTTTAATTTCCAAAACTAATTCACTTATAACTTCTACCTTGACCAGGTGTGATCGAAATAAAAACAAGTCTGATTTCTTTTCTTTCATGGGTAAAGCAATGTCATTCACAGATGAACAAAACTTTACTTTTAAGTTACTTTGTAAATTGTATAGCTCTAAAGTTTTCGTTTCTTTGGTAGACATGTAAAAACTTCATGAAGCCTAACTTTTTTGCAGAATTGGATTGGGAATTTAAAACCTTTCCTATAGAATATCCCCCCAAACCCCCCCCCCAAAAAAACCCCCCCAAAAACCCCCAAAACTAGCAAACAAACCAAATTATTTTTTTTCACAAATGTAAACCCTGAATGTTTGAAATTTTGGGGAGTTTTAGTTTATCAAAGAAACATAATAATTGTGATGCAAGCTGCAACAATATAAGTAATGAAAAATAATCATCTCAAGTCTTCCATTTCTCCTTCTGCAGAGGATGTCTGAGAAGACAAGAGTGGAACCAAGACTCCTGTACATGTACATGTAGGAAGGATCTAGTAGCAAGCTGCAGGGCACCATACTGGTTCAACTATAGACGATGCAGGTAGGTGTTCATTGGCAACTTTTAAAATATTTGATAAAACAATTCTTGTATTTGTATTTAACTTTTCTGAGTTCTCTTTCTCCTCTCTTCATTTGTTTATAAGATTTATAAAGTACATGTATCTCTTTAAAAAAAAACACCACAAAGTTTGAAAACTGTGAAACATTTCTTCAAGATATTCCTGTTTGATCTCTCCCTCTCAGGTGTCAAAGAAGATCAACATGAAACTGTTGAATACTTGCTACTGAATGAACAGGAATATGCGGATGTCTCAATAGGACATGAAGAAGTTGAAACAGGCCAGTATGATTGTAGCCATATTTGGAGAGGTTATCTCTATTAGGTGCATCGGCCAGAATAAACAAGTAAATTATTTTGTCATTAACTCAGAAAAAAATGTCAGTAATGTCACTTTCATTGTCAGTATAATATGGGAAATAGTTATCTAGGTTATTGGAAATTTCAGCTCAGGTTAAGTAAGTTTGACAAAATGCCAAGTAAATTGATTTTGAGGAAGTTTATTAAAACACTTCTCAGAAATATTAAAAATACACCGAGTACCTCGATAAACTCCAGTTAAACCCTTTTTCATTTTTTTTGCCTTTAGACATGTTAAACCTTCAGAAATTGCCAATTAGGTAAAATTTGGACGTACTTAAAACTACATGTTATACAGTTAATTTATCTGTTGTAAAAAAAGTCTTCCAACAGTGTATTCATGTAATATTATATTTTATTTTGTATGTATTCTTAACAGAGCTTTTTAAATAACTGTAAATAGATGTGTATAAGCTGGGCTCTGTACAATTTTGTAAAAAAAAGGTACATCTGAAAGTGACATTTTTACTAAGTAGTAGAATTTGAGGAGAAGCAGGGAGATTTTACATTGTTTGACTCACTTCTCTAAACAAAATTCTGAATTATGAAAATAACAAATTTGGTGGGCCTAATTAATTAAACTTTTGTAAATTTTAACTTGTGAATTAACATACAGGGTCTGTTGGGATTTTTAGAGGTACAGTCGACTTGTCCTGATTACTGTAACACTAGGTTAAAAACAGTACTGAATAAAAATATGTTTGTATGACAGGTTTATAAAAATCCCAAGCTCTTAATTCCATCTTAGGAATAGCTCTTAGGCCTAATTTCTCCAATTTTGACAAAAGACATGGTCTTGACAACTGTATTTGCAAAAACATTGATTTTATGAAGCCACTTGACTCTGACTGCAAGTATAAGTAGGTCAGCTAGAACAAACCCTTGTTTCACCTCTAAGGTGAAAAGCAAGTGAAAGTTTTATGTCAAGGTGACAGATTTATTGCGGCCGTTTCTGACTTAAAATCGCAGTGGAATTATCCATACCTGTGGAGACAGCGGGAACCATTATATGTAATATTGCTTCTTTTACCATAGGGTGGTAAATTCAACGTACCGTCATATATACTGCTGTCAATTTCTCAAAACAAATAAATCATATTGTTGTCGCACAATTTTACCTATGAATACATGTAGCCATATTCTGTAAAATTTTAGAGCTTTTTTTTATATACATTTACTGAATAAATGTTATGATAAATGATAACGCGAATACAACATATTAAATTAAAAACAGTTTCAATAATTGATGACTTTTCTCATGCATTTGTACATAATTATACTTTAAATAATCTTATCCACTCATTTGAATGCAAATGCTAAGCATGGGGTACTACTAGGTGAACATTTCAGTCAAAGGATACAATAATGTACTTTTTTTTTACCAAGTTAAGGGAAAGTTTTAAAGTTCAAGAAGTACAAGAAATATCACAAGAAATTTGAAACTTGCAACGGGCAATAGTGTTTCTACTCTTAAGGGCTTTTGACCCAAGTTAAACAATTCCTACCAATTTAAAATTCTATGAACAAAATAATATAACATTTTCTTGAAAGATATCATATCTGATTGTAAAAGTGCAATAAGGGTCTGTCATTGAAGAAAAAGAGAAAATGTACCCAAAAACCTCTGATCAAGAGCCAGGAATGAACTTCACTGCAGTAAAACAGAATTCCTGAAACTCTGGTTTCTCAAATCTTGCCCTGACTAGTTAAGGGCAAGGCTGTAGAAATGAGGTCAAGTGCTCTATCTGGAGTATACTTGTAGAGCATCTCTGCAGGGATGCATAAGCGTGTCAGGTCAACAGTTGATCCCAAAACTTTTGTACCTACCACAGAGTTGGACTTAAAGCCAGAGTCCATCATTTGCAGCTATCTCAAAAGTAACTGGTGTAATTATTGTTGAAAAACATACTTTGTTGAAAGATAGTAAGGGGACTAAACTCCCTTTGAAATTATTCTTTCTGGCAAGCTGTCATTTTGAAGAAATCAACGAAAGAAGGCCTTTCCAATGGTGCATCTTAAGAACCACTGTTGGAAATTTCCGTTAGTAGTTCGTTTTTTTATTCGGCGAAGCGTGCGCAAGCGTTGACACGATGCACACGCGCGCGCAGTTGCTATAATTCATCGGATCGGTGCGCGACATCGCGTAGCTGCAATCGGCTCGGTGAGAACGTGTCTCGGACGCTGAATTCAGGCCCAATTCAAAACATGATTCAGCAACTTTTGATTTGAAATCGAGATCCTAGAATATTTTTTTTTCTCGAAATATACAGCTGAAGCTGAGCTGAAACTTCATCAGGTTAGTTGTTCAGCCCCCTTCATTAGATTTTGAACACTTTTGTTGCTTCAAACGAACAAAATGAACAAATTACAAATGACGGACTATACCTTTAAAACGTCACTTTGGGTACAGCATTCCCCCGAAAAAAACATTCTTAAGTTTTCCTATGAGGACTGGCATACTGCACAAGGTGAAAAGCACACCATGGCAGATCAGGTCCCAATTCCCTGCCTAGCATTGTGCATCTCCGGTGACCTCGTTTTTCAATCTTGACCATGGATGACCCATGACCCGGAATAACCCTTGACCCTGGCCACAGTGACCTCACCGAGGTCCCTTGTGGATCACCTCTCTGCATAAGTTTCCCACAGCGGACACAACGCAAGTTTTTCATTCTGGTATCTGAACAACACTGCCTCTTCCCACAGAAGACACCTGTCTCTCTGTAGGCCAACAGAGGGCGCTGTTGCTTCACTTGCTTGTAGCACAGACTCTTTGCTATTGAGGGTAGAAGTGAAGGGAGTCTCGTCACTTGATTGGGAGTCGGTTGTGTCATTCAAAGAACTGATGCACACACAAAAATAATAATAAAAATAGGTATCGTTACGATAGAGAAAAAGTTTGCCTTGCAGCATGTCAGTCAATCATAAAATAATGTTCAACTATCTCCCCAACTTTTTTATTTGTGGATGTTTAAATTAAAAAAAACATGGTCTGTTTTCCTTTCTTTGTGGATGAAGTATGGTACTCAAATCTAAACACGGATTCATTTGTCTTGCATGGACAAAGTAAATCTCCCCAAAATCCAAGATTTTAATAAGAAACATCCGCAGATTTGTAGCAATGGAACTTTGAAACTAAAGTTCATATGAATTCTTTATAATTAGTACTACTTGACAAACAGATATTCTAATGCTCCAAGTTCGGAAAGGCGTTTACGCTGCTCAGTGCTCAACCAATTCCAATTTCAACTGCTGGTCTTTTTGTCTCTTTTATTAATGGCACACAGATTGAAACTACTATATTTGCTTGGATTAGAAGATCAAGTGTTTTGGAGTATGCTTCTGTTTGGGGAGTCAGATTGGTGTAGTGGTTCTTTCCTCGCCTTCCACTTAAGTTCTATGGCCTGGCTTCGATTCCTGCCCTGGTCTACGTGGACTACCTGATTCCATGGGTTGTTTCCCGGAATATTCTTCTGGGGTTTTCCTCCCGTGTTTTAAACTGTAATTCCCCATTGTCTTCTCTGCACAGGTTTCTTCAGGCTTGTGAGCTACAGTGCCTGGGGGCTTTTGATGAATCCTTGGTTTCATTACCAGAACTACATAAATAGATTCTAAATCAAGGCTCTAACCTATCAGACCAGTTGTCATCTGTAACACTCCCCTCGTGTTCAGGAATGGGTGCTAGGGTGCTGGCCAACTGAGCACTGAATCTCAACTGCCTGGCTGTCCGAGACGATATGATCCAACTCAACCTGCTCGTCGGCATCTTGCACTCCGGAGAAGAGTAGGAGGCAAGGAACTCTGACAAGATGGTTTGGCACTCGAGAAGCTCACAGTCTGACATCTGTGGTCAAAATGAACGGGAAACAAGACAAGGCAAGACTAGTAAAACTGGTCCAAAGGAACAAAGAATTCTTTTACAGTTGATTCAGAATGGCTATTCACTGGAAGTCTTTTCATGCATCTTGTCTGCATGATGTGCGGAAGTTAGCCCATGCATTCATTGGCGTTACAGGGTAATCATTTTAGTGCTGCCAGGCTCACACGTGACTGTCATTTAGTGAGTAAGTAATTCTAACCTGAGCCTTTAAAGGGAATATACAACATTTGTAAACATCGAAAAATAAAACTACCAAGTTTTTGCGAAATACCTTAACAGGATGTTGGTAAATGACAGTCTAAAGCATCCTGTAAAATTATGGCACCTGGTATACTGTCATTTTCAAGAAAAGTGGTATTTTTGTATCAATTTCCAACGCTGATCGGCCGATCAGCGTTGGAAACAACTGGCTTTTTTTCAAATACTGGCCCCAATTGACCATTGCACTTGTTTGCAATCGATTACAAACCTATGAACGGGTACGAGCCAGCTAGACTGGTTCCCTGACCTTACAATTCCCCAATGTTTGTAAACTGCTCTGTTTCTTCTTATATGGAGTCAGGGAACCAGACTACAGGAAAATGATCGTTTTTCTTGGTTTTTATAGCATTTTCGAACCCAAAACCTCCAAAAAGTCAGTGTAACTATATTTGCTTTATATTTCCAACCCCCCAATTCCATCCATTTCTGAAAATTACAGCAAAAGCAAATGATGTATATTCCCTTTAAAGTCCACCAGTTTTTGGAGGATTTTGCAGGATTGAGGAAGGTAGAGCCTAAAGCTACTATTCCTTTACATGAGTCTTGAGTCCCTTGAAACTTGGTAAGTACAAAGAGTGTGTCATCGGGTTCCTGCACAGTGGAGGATTTTGTAGGATTGAGGAATGTAGATCCCTGCCACTATATACTTGTCATGGGGCTTTATGCCCGTTTGCAGTTGCAGTACATAGTCTGTTCCATTGGTTTACTGTGCAGTGAAGGATTTCAAAGGATTCCTGAAGATTCCTGTGAAAAATGTTTATATAAGGTGACAAAAAAACAAGAGCTGTCTTTTTTTTGGACAAAAAAACAGGAACTGTCTTTGTTTTTTTGTCATTCAAGCGTGAAGTGACAAGAGTGAGAAATGTCTTACCTTCATGGAGTATTGTAGGCCAGCAACAACTCTGGCCCAGGACATGTGGCTGATGTTGCAGTTGGTTTTGATGAAGTCTGGTAGCTCCGATAACAGTAGCGACATTGCTAGCATGGAGGGCTGAACAGACAAAGGTAATTCTCTAAGTCAAGTACAGCAAATGTGTTTGAAGTCATTCATTGGAATTGAAATCCTTTCTCTAATCTTTCTCTTTCTGCATTCAGTAGTATGAATGATGAACAAGGTATACTTAGGTCTTCAGTGTATATCTGTATGTGATACATGATTGTAGTGTGTGTAAGCTTAGCTAGCCATTGAGGTGCCCCCATCGAGTAGGCCAAGGATTGCCCTCAACAGTTTTGGAGTTCTTTTTTATCACCGACTCCCATTAACAAGCCTGCAACTTTGAGTTTTACACATGATCTCTTGATTGTAAAAAAACACTTATTGATCATTCACAGACAGTCAGCAATTTCTTCCACTTCCTTTGACATGCATTTGTATACAGCCTAGTAAAATGCAGTCAAAGCAAATTCATGTAAACACTGTGATAGTCAAATTCTATATCAATCAACTCCAGTCAAAGCATGGCTGTATCCAATTAAGAAGGGAAATCTGACTGCTAAAAATCTTGACTGCTGTGATGGCATAGCTGCATGCCAGCCAGAGAGGGAGGGTTTTTGTGAAATTATAAAAATTAATAAAAATGGAAACCAGAAGTTTTCCTCCAACCAACCTTAAAAAGCGTCAGAGGAAAATGACACATGCAGGCCTCCAGTTTCCTGGTCATGACCTCCAAGTGGTCCGTCTGCAGTCCAGCGTCCGTACCCAAGATGTCGGACACCACACAGTAGGCGTGGTAGAGTTGCAGGAAGGAGAGAGACGTGGGTGCTTCCATGTCCCAGCCTAGCTTCTGTAGGATAATGTTCTCCATGCGCGCTATGTCCATGGCAGTGCAGCCGCATTGAGTGATGCGAATCAGATCCTCAGGCGACATCACATCCTACAGACAGTAAAAATAAAAGACAGCTCCAAAATTGTATTGCTTAAAAGTCAAAAACGTTTACAGTATTTGAAAATTTATGGGCGCCTTATTTTATTTTCAAGGAAAAGTATAAAAGGGAGACTGGAGAGCAGACTGTAGTTATGCAATTTATTATAAAGGATGAAAACGATTGAGGATGCATTAATTTAAGAATATTCCAATGGATTTTTTAAAAGTTATATGAGGACTTATTTTAGAGAAGTGATACTCAAGCACATTTTACCAGTTTTCGAGCGAAGAAGATACATGCGTTTACATTTGCAGCCTTTTCTTTTCCTTGTGAAAGTAACACGAATATGGTATTTTAGTAAGCTATGTTTCTTAAATAGTGCCTTTTCTTTCTCATTTCAATAACAAATGGCTAAATGTTCAACTTTCTTGACTGAAAAGATTGTCCTCCCAACTTTGTAACTCATTTTTTGGGGGCGGTTTTTGACATTCATACCTGAGAATGTTCCAGCATTTTGACGCTGAGGTAGTAACTGGCAGCAGTCACACACATCAAATGATGAGGCCTTGCCTACCAAAAGGGGGCAAACAAATTCAAAATGATTACATTTCAAGAGATCGAGTGTATGAAATAAAGTATTTTGAGAACAAATACACAAACTGATTTTGTAATGAAAAATATACGCAACTATTAAATTCCAAACTTTTAATTCCACAAAACCTTTCCACTGACAACGTCGCCCATTCTTTACGCACCTTGACAAGTGAGAGGAAACGATCCATCACATTGACGGCCAGGAAGAATGTCTCCGATGACAGGTTGTAGAATCGATTCCAGCTGCGTAGTCGATCAACGAGTGTATTGTGCATGGCTTGAGTAATACTCTCCTCATCCTCAATAACAAGTTAATATTTAAGAAAGAAAAGAGAAATTGAAAAAAATGATCTCTCTACCTTATATCTGTGCAGGAATCTTCTACTTGTCTACTTGTTGAATGGTCGGAAAAATTACTGGGGACACTAACCCTATTAATTTTGATTCATCAATTGTCCATGAATACTTATCCCAACAGTTATCAGTTAGTAACGAGAGTCGAGACAAGTTTAGGAACAAGGGCCGAGGGGAAAGGAAATGGGAAACAAATTTTAAAATCAGTCCCCAAAATTAAAACTCATATTTTGCTTTGTTTCTAACTTTTTGTTAAAAATGCTATTGCTACCTCTGGTATGTTCTGCAGATGTTCAAGATGAGGCTGATAGAAGTCTTGCGCTTCCATGGCAACCTTTATCATTCGCCACAGATGGCTTTTTCCGGTCGGTGACATCTTGAACCAGGTAACGGAGAGTGATGCTCAGTCAGATCATAACACACGCATCATTGTTGTATTAAACACAGCTTCAGCTGAAAAGAAACGAGGCATTTACAAACTTGGCCTTGGTCTGTTTAAATTCTATAATAAAATAATAAAGTGAGAAATTAAGTTTTTATTATAAAGGAAAAGTTATACTCCCCAGTTTACCATGTAGGCTGATGTAAATGGTTTAGCAAAGGTTTTCTTCGAGAAACTTCAGACCACATAAAATTAAAATCATAAAAAAATGGCAATTTAATAATTATATTATGTAAACAAAAGTATAGGCCTATTTCATTTTCAGCACAGCTATCACCTAATTCACATGTTCAAGCTTATCCCGGATACCGTACCTGCCAAAGAAATAAATATTATGTAATGTGATTATCGATGTTTGGGACGCAGTATTAAAAGCCTACGCAGTATTGAGAAAGAGTCTTTGACTGAGTGAGAGTCCCAAATGTTCGGACACCGTACGTACACTAACTTAATAATAGTGCAGTTGCACGGATGCAACACACGAACATCGTTGCTACTGCCACTGGTAAATAATGTTATGTTTCTCGCTTAAAATAATTCGAACACTGCATCAGAACGAACATTTTGTTTACCTTGATCTTGAAGAAATAAGATACAACACCAGTCGCTAATCAAGTAAGTAACAGCATCGGCTCAAATAACGATTTAAATAAAGGTAAACACTGTAGTGTACGCTTTGTCAAATATTGTCGGTTTCAAACTTGGCGCGCAACAACCTCGACCCCGGCCTAAGCTGTTAAAGTGCAGTACGCTACCACTGCCTCTTTGCTGCTATCCGATCCAGCAAGTGCGCAAAAGCGTGTGGAAATGGTAATGCTTTGAGAACATTATTAGAATGATAATGATTTGGGATAAATTCTTTAAAAATAAGGAGGACTAAACATGAACATCACAGTAAGGAGGCTATTTTTGTATTTATCCCATTTGCAATGTCTCTGATAAGATTGTTGCACCACCGAAAATTGGTTTTCCGTAAGTTATTGTCATCGCCCGATTTTGACCGTTTTTTGCCTTTCAAAAGCATGTGAAACTACTGACTATGTGATAAAATGTTGAATAACATGTATGAAAAAAAATAGTCACAATATGACAAATCTGAGAAACTTGACCAAACAGTCCGACCATTTACTTTGGTAAGATATTTATCAGACACACAAAGTTTAGCTATTTTTACTCGGACATTTTTTTCACAATCAACATTTTAATGTGTGTTTTTGGTATAACATACATCAAAAGTATTTTATATGTTCTTAAAATGAACACACGGGCTTATAACAGAAATAGTCCGTCCTTTCTGCCAGGGTTCTCAACTTGGAAACTCGCACTATTACTGTTGGTCAAAACGTTTATAATTATGTCTGTGGTTCGGTCCGGTTTATCGTGATGGCGCCCTCTGCGGTGATTTTGTGTATCGTCATCATCTTATGAACTTCTTGCTTCTTTGTGGGCGCTGATCCTAACCATTTAATAAATCCGCAATTCTTGTCCATTCTGAGTCTGAAATATGTTTTTCGATTGTTAAAAAAGGCATGTACATGCACATATCTTTTGACAACAATCATAAATAAAAACATATTTTTGAAAAAGTCTTTTTAAACAAATATGGTTCAAGTTTTACGGGTTTTTGCTCGAACAGCCAAAAAATTCATCCTATGGATCAGTGGTGAAACATTCAAAAGATTGTTGACCGATGTGCCTTTCAAACAATAAACATGTGTTTTTTATCTGCGTTTTACATCAATCAAATTTTAGTACCACCGACCCCAAGAATGTCCCTTTAAAAATTATTAACGGTCTACAGCTCTAATATAATAGCATCCAGAGTACCAAAAAATGTGCTAATCTTGTTTTCAAGTCATCTATTCGTTCTTTAAAAAAACCTATAAATGTTGACCAAATTTTTAATAAAATTACCCCTTGCCTTTAAAAACAGAATTTGGCTGGCAGGATATTGATGGATCCGTGGCAACGTCAACTTCAGCATTGTGGCAGCAGTCACGAGTTCAGGGATACCTGCCTACAAGACGATGGTTCCATGGACAACTCTCTACATGACAGTATCTCAGTGAGCTTGAGTTTGTTGAGTAAAATCATGGCATTCATCCATGGTAAAATTAAGGATCTTTTGAAATCGCAAGGTTTATATGGTGAATTGTGTTAGGGAATAAAATGGTACGGTGCATATTTTGTCACATCACTTTATAACATGTTTGTCTGACATCCTTCTCTGAACTTAACACATATTTTGAGTCATTAATTACTTTGGAGAAGACATATTGGTCTAGCACCCAACCCAAAATCATATAGTTATAAGATGAGTTGTCAACTACCTGGCGCCAGCCTGACAATGCAGTTTCACACTGCTAATGATATGTTTAAAAAACTTCAAATTTACCTGCAGAGATTTTTATTTTAAGACATTCTGATTGCACCAATTGTGTCCATATTCTCTCTCGATGATTTTTTTCTTTTTAACTTTTGCGTTAATGACCCTCTACATAATTGTCTTATAATTTGCATGTTTTAGTTTCAGTATACATGTATTTAATATATGTTTATATTTCGGTTACTCCTTAAATTTACTATACTATGGATCAAAATAAGTTATTGCCTTTTGAAATGCTGCCTAAATTACAGGAAGACAGTTGTCAACAAATGATAAAAATGCTTGCAAGCTCTTACACCTGTTTGTTTTTTTTTTTGGGGGGGGGGTACTGTTTTGTTTCAATGAATGAGGATGATGCTATCTAAGTGCGGACTGGGACTTTTTTCACTCAAAACCAAATAATTTGGAAATTTATATTTGCAAAGAAAGATGCATACAGGAATGGCTCAAAGATGTTAATACGCATGAGCAGTGTGGGCTATTTATTTGTAGAATATTCAAGCTCTTATTAGGTTGTGTAATTCAATGACTTCTCAGAACCATGTCGTACGTTCAATACATTTCACCAGACTTTTTGTCGTTGGCGCGGCTTAAATAAAAAAAGACATTTAATTTGAAATTGATCATTGATGTATTAACCAGATAGAATGATATTATTATAATTATCTTAGTTGTGGGTCACTTACATTTTTGAAAAACTGTTATCAGGTGTGAAGGACTTTTTTGGCTTAGAGCTGTCTTAAGTGTTTTCGTTTGAAAGGGATGTGTCATTTTTTGGGGGGTCAATATTTGTATCAATATTGTTTGTGTTTTCCCCAAATCAGATGTTAATGACATATTTCACCAATTTGGAAGGGAGATAAGGAGAGTCATAAGGCAGTTTCTTGAAAATAAGAGGTTAATTTTGTTCTTTTGAGGACTGCAAAAATAAACCCAGAAATTTTAGCTGAACTCAAACAATAGCTGGATTATAGAGATATTCAGGGGAAAGCCAACAGCTCAAGTTTGAAAGATTACTTTTCATGATGTGGCATTAATATTTTTAATTGGTGACGAAATTAACCTTATTCCAACCCACAATACACCTTAAAGCTGCAAGGAGTAAAACTGAATAGATAAGATAAACAGTCGTTAATCTTGACAAAGATTGGGAATCCAAAATAGTTTGGGAATAAAATGGTTTATGGAGTCGGCACTTTGTTATATTTTACACCCGTGTTAAACTGCTGTAATATTGTATTCATGGCCCTGAACTGGGCAAGAATTGTAAACCAGGTTATGATTAAATATTAAACTGGGCAGTTATGATAAATTGCTGCATATGAAGATAAAAAACTTCCATTGTCTGAGTATTTTGAGTGATATTTAACAGTGATATTTATGACAAATAGAGTACTGCATGGGCCTTAGTCATGCCATAAATTGATATTTCGTTGAAAAATCCCCAAAATCAATAAAGCCCCCCTTCCCTCGCCTTACACCCCCAAAACCTTTTGAAAATTAAGGCAACAGGGCGGCAATTTGAAGCCACCTTTGACCTTTTATAAAAACATTTGTTTAGATATGAAGGAAAAAACAACACAATTTGGCAGCGAAAAAAATTCCAGTGTTGTCTAAGTACTCCCCCAAGTCAAAAAATTGAGAAACATCTCTTGCAGAAATACTTAACTCTTCATCAAAAGCAGGTTCAGAAATACTGAGGAGTAAGGGGAGTAAAATGTTCCTTTTGAGTGTTTACATTTTTCTTAAAATTATTGATTCAGTGACTGCATTCAATGAAAGACAGTAAAGCGCCACCACAGATCACTTCAGTCTGGTCCGCCATCCCCCTGCATTACACGCCGCCGTGTGAACCGCATAAATGCCTGTATTTTCATCATAATGTACTCCATAAGGACGTGCACAATGCGCTCGTTCATGGGAAACGCCGAAACGCCCAATTTTCTACCTGAACACACGCCATATGGTCGTGCACAATGCGCATGTCCATGGGATACGCCGTATTGGCCGATTTTCTAGCTCCATGCACTGTATATAGGCGTGCACACTGCGCATGATCGATGGAAACGCTGTTATGCCCGATTTTCTAGCTCGCTATTGCCAATACACGTGTGTACAATCGGCCGTGTACAAAACAGCCATATACGCGGTTCAAATGGGATTTTCGCCACGGTCCAAAAAGCTGGTCTACGGTTTTTACGTAAGGTTTACGCTTTAGAGCAGGGAACCAGTTACAGCGTGTGTTTTATCGCAGGATCTTTTGAGTCAAGTTGCTTACGAAAAAGGAAGGAAAGTGTCTTTGCTCTCTAAGTCATTTGAATAAATTCTAATAAAACAAAAAGGCGCGAGAGAAGAATATTATGATTTCAGAGTTGGGCATCGTACTTGAATATCGAATTCGTATTTCAATAAATTTATATTGAAGAAATGCTGCCGTTTATCGGTGTCATACAAAATGCACCAAAACCGTAACTTTTGTTATTATTTGACCCAACTCTTTTTGGTTTTAGCACAACAATTTCATAGGAGCTATGGTTATGTTTAAAATGTACCTCTAGGGGCGATCTTATTGTTATGGTCGCCTCTAGCGGTACGCGCGTTTCTTGGTCGACCCTAGAGGTACGGGCGTTTCTATCGCCATTCTGTACCTCTAGGGGCAATCTTGTTGTATTTATGGTCGCCCTTAGAGGTACGCGCGTTTCTATCGCCATTCTATACCTCTACGGGCGATCTTATGATGGTCGCCTCTAGCGGTACTCGCGTTTCTTGGTCGCCCCTAGAGGTACGCGCGTTTCTATCGCCATTATGTACCTAGCCTCTAGGGGCGATCAGGTCGCCTCTAGAGGTACGCGCGTTTATTGGTCGCCCCTAGAGGTATGCGCATTTCTATAGCCATTCTGTACCTAGCTTCTAGGGGTGATCAGGTCGCCTCTAGAGGTACGCGCGTTTATTGGTCGCCCCTAGAGGTACGCGCGTTTCTATCGCCATTATGTACCTAGCCTCTAGGGACGATCAGGTCGCCTCTAGAGGTACGCGCGTTTATTGGTCGCCCCTAGAGGTATGCGCGTTTCTATCGCCATTATGTACCTAGCCTCTAGGGGCGATCAGGTCCGACCTCTAGAGGTACGCGCGTTTATTGGTCGCCCCTAGAGGTATGCGCGTTTCTATCGCCATTCTGTACCTCTTGGGGCAATCTTATTGTTTTTATGGCGCCGTAACTTTCCTTATTATTGACCCAACTGTTTTAGCACAACATTTTCATATATAGCTGTGGTTATGTTTAAAATTTGTTTCAAGACCAGGTAGATATGCGGCGGGACCAAAGCGGGCGGTCCGGCTGCGAGTCCCGGCCAGGGAATTGTGGTAGTTGCAGGGAAACCCGCGGCGGGTCCTTGGTTGCAGTGTGGCGCGCCCAGGATTTGGTTGGAGGAGGGGGGGGGGGGCTTAATTTTGTTTTTTCAAATTTTTAAAAAGTAATTTTTTTTCAAAAAAAATTGAACAAAGTTTTTTTCCTTAGAAAAAAATAGGTTTTTTTTTAAATTTGTTTTATTTATTTTGTGAAAATTTATTATGTATCGTTCCTTGTTTGGGGATTGTTTTGAGGGGCACACACAAGCTGGAGGAAGGGGACAGTGTCAAGCTTACACAATTCCACATTATTTATATTATTAATATTATGACAATTACACGTGGAAGTTTCTTTGCAAATCTGGGTTTGAAAAAAGTTCATTAGTAATTTTTTTGTTTCTTTTAAGTCAAGGGGTTATAATTGACTTGGGACTTAACACCGAGACTAGGGAATGAATCTCAGTAAAAAGCGGGGTACAGTCTCACAAGGTAACTTTTTTTATTTTAATGTTTCTCACTGCAAGAATTCACAAGGAACTGGAAACAACACTGATTTCTTTAGATTGACAACAGCACATGCTGAATATTCTGTGTGAATTATGAATAACTTCAGATTTGAACATTTAACAAATTGGATTCTCAGTTACAAGATGGTTCCATATCTTTGCTCATAGAAAATCTTCTTTGAAATCACAATTATCTGATACAATTAATTTTGACAAATCAGTGGAATTAAAGATGTAGAGTAAAAAAACAACGAAAACAAAACAAGTGTTTCATTTTACAACTTCTTACATTCCTTTACATATTTAATGCCCTCTGACTTTAAAAAGTAAACTTAGAGCCAAGTCACACTAGGCAATATCACAGGCAATTTGGGGGCAACCGCACAATGAACAATTTACTGTTTCCCCCAACAGTTAAGGCAAATTCCTTAGATTACATGGAATTAAAATTTGCATTCTTTTTTTTCTTGGAGATTGCACAGAAGTTGCCTGTAAATTTCCTCGTGTCGTGGCCCTTACAACCATTCCATCAACAATTTCCATAAATGCTACAGTGATGCAAACATTAGTGTGCCTTCATGCACATGTGGGATCCAATGACATACACGTCAAGTACTGTACCGTATTAAAACCAATAGAAGTACATTTGTTTACTTTCTAATTTGGGTAGCGTGAGTACAGCCAATTACATTGTACATACACAACTACACCACAATGCATTTCATGCTCGATATACACCCGTACCACAATATCCACAATAATATATCTACTGCATAGCTATCCCGTTGATACTTTTAACAAATTTCCATTCATATTTCATTAAACTAGAACAAAGAGAATACCATATTAAATAGTAGAATAGTACTATACAAAACATCTAAACATAGTATAAAACCAAAACCAAATCATATGGAATGAACTGAAGAAAGACCCAAGCACTAGCTAAAGCAGAACATAAAGAAAACCAAGATATTAAATTTCAACCAATTTTTTTTTAAAGTAAATATTAATGCATAATAAATAAACTTTACACATGTAGCGCTAATTACTGGACATTAAATCCTACGTTATATCATGAGCATTTTTGCATGCTTATTCTCAAGGGCAACTTTCTGAAATTGACAGATTTATAAACTCTTTCCTTTGAAATTGAACAGCTGGAAATTATTATATTTAACTAGAACTTCTTGTTCATATTATTAAAAAAGAAACAATGAAAAGAATGCTGTAGTACATGTAGTTAAGTGCTAGTACTTTGATTTACCTGTTTATGGTAGAGTACTTAAACATATTGCAACAAGTTGATATAACTTCTTGAATAGTTTATAATCAAAATACAAGAATTATTTTATAAAGTATACAATTATAAATCAGTCACACACTACCGAATACAATTTGGTCAAAGAAAAAAATTGCCATTTCTCAAAACATGGTCTTACATAGTTGGGCTTCATTTCATAACAAAATACAGAGCTCCATTGAAATTAAGCTCTACATTTTCTTTCTTTTCAATCTTTTCTTGCTCACATGTGAGACAATTGTACAGTAACAGCCCGAATGCCAAGTTTGAGAAATAGGTAAATATAATGCATGTCCCCTTAAATATGGAAATCTCTAACAAAACGCAATACTAATGATTGTTAACCCTGGGGGTATGCAAAATCGTATTGAAATCGGAAGATTCAGGACTGTTAGGGCTATTTTTGTATTCTTCAAGTCTATCGCTAAACGATCCAGAGCAGCATTTTTGTATAGACTGACTCATTACACATGCATCACTATGAAGAAAGTGCTATGCACGTCTCACTCAATCACTCACAAAAGATGAAAAATGCATAGTAGTCAAACAAACTTGGAATTTCTTTATCATTAACATTTTGTTGCATTGCAAAATTCTTCAAACAACTTTACGAATGAAAGAGATTATTCATATTAGTCATTATTTGTGTTATCTACTTACTGCAATAACATTCAATGTGCTGCAATTTCGAAGACAAATTGACAGTCATGTGACTTAGCATTTCACATAAGCAGTTCTGACTCACGAGACAGATGATGACTAACGGTGCTACAGCGTAATGCCATGAATGTAAGGTTTATTCATATTGTCTACAAGAAGCACATAAGGATCCAGTCTGGATGTAATTTCATTTCATCAGGATCAAGGCTAGAAATAAATCTGGGGGAAGTTAACATTGATTGAATACTTCATGAGAGGTCAAGGGAGTTGAATTGGTGGGATGCTTCTGAATATTGCAAGAATTGCTCACAAGAAGTTACTATCTAAGTATCAGACGAATTAGTAATTTCTTCCAAGTTTCTATACTGTAAATCAACCTTTGTTGTTTTGTATCCACTAAATATTTTCCTGTCAACTCCTCCAATCAGGCTTATTTCAATGTATACACTTAAATGACTTATAGGTGGTTTAACATGCCTGAAGGCATTTTGGTTTTATAATTTTTTTTATATATTGCCAGTGTCATTTTTTTAAAATGACAATTGCTGTGAAAATATTACATGTGCCCTGATCATCCAAACAAAATATCTGGCCACATTTCTTTATTGGGCATCATGAAGTTTGGTGCACCAATAGTTTTCCTTAAATTAAAAATGTCTGTGAAGGAGGGATTTTCTGACATATAATCATTTTACACAATGTGAACTGTGTTTGATATTCCAAATCAATAAAAAGCACACCATTTGTTGCACAATGTTTTAAAGCATAAGGTAAACCAAAATGTAATATTCTTAATGTGACACATTGCTTTCCTATTTTGTTTTTATAGTATTCAACTTATTTTCTTACTACCTAGGATGCCAGAAAGCCCTGAATCACAAGCTCAATGATGAAATACATAACGCACCAGATGTTGAAATATTCCTGAATTTCTTTCACTAGCTTGCAGCTCCCATTCCATAAGTTTGATAATCAACAACCGTCAAAGCATTCCACATTTAAAACTATCCTTTAGATCAACCTTAAATAACTAGAACAAAATTAGTTAGCGCAAAAATTTCAAGTACCAAATTTACATACTTCATCCTGGTTGTGGGGGCTACATTTATACTACTCAGTGTGTACAATGTACATGTACATGTACAGTACATGTTCCTAGCTCTTAACCCTGTCCCCAATATTAACAAATGTGATCCTAAAGATAAAACATGGGATACTACACAGGCACATAGGTTCAAGAATCCTACATAATGAATCTTATTAATTGCTCTTAATTAAAAAAATGAGTTTCCAATAAGTTGTACCTGGAAGGAAATGATATGGAGGCACATTCAATTGGCAGAACACAAAATGCTCAGTTCGTATCAATCCATGTTAACAATGATGACTCATGTGCAAATGTGTGTCACAACAATTTAAAGTAATAGTGCAGATGCTGACTTTGCTGTACAGGTTTACTGCAGGTGCTTATGGATTCCCCCCTTGTATCTAATTCCTTTGTAACAATTGATTTGTTTGGAAGAAATAATACAGGGATTTATCTTAAAAAAAGAAGAAAAAAAGCCATGGCAGGCAATTCAGTTAATTGAATTTGCCCAATTACTTCTGTGGCCTTTTAAAGCGACTTAAGTGTTGCTCTGTGGGTGCAGAAAAAAATTGTGTAAAATCAACTTGATTTAAGTTTCATTCATCCAAAAAGTATCAACAGTGGTGCAGTGCAGTTTTTCCGTTTTTTACATATCTGTCAATATGACCAGTATTTTAGTACAGTAACAAAACAAAAACAGTTCAACCACATGTAAATGTTTACATACACAGGCAGCGAGAAAAGTTTAAATGCTGAATTTTAAAGCGAACAATTCCACACCTTGTTTTTTTGGCAAATACAAACAAAACAAGGCGTAACAACAAGTACCATTAAGTTCTAGGCCAATGTCTCAAATTGACAGCCAATATCACAGAACCATTGGGCACACACATTTGCCCAGTTCTTACAAATTTTGCTAAGCAAAAATAGTTTACCTGCCAACATCAAGTCAATGGCTGATGTACGGCAATCGGATGAATCCACTAAGCACGTAAACCTGCTGAGCGGATTTTCTTATTTTTTGTTCGCTGAGTTCTATGATATTGGCTGAGAAGGCAGGGGTTTAATGGTGGATAGTCGGAACACGAGTGACTTACTAGCCAAAGATACCGGAGTCTTTTCCACCGGGCGGCTGCCTTTTGATAGGAGCCTTATTTTCTACTCTACCGCCCGCTGCTGGCATGCTGGCTGGGTCAAGCTTGGGAGGTTTAGCACGCCTACCACTGGGGGAAGGTTCCTGGTCTGATGCTGGCTCTGGTGCTGGTTCTGAGGCTGGCTCTGGTGGACCTGCTCTGTTTGGCTCGCCAGTCACCGGGTTGTTTCCAACTGGAGGAAAAGAGGAAAAAAGGGAACGGCTGAGTTTCGATGTTGGTAAATCTTGTTCCAATCTACAGACTTCAGCCAAGTTCTTTTTTGTTTTTATAAGAACATAAAAGTAAGGATGTGACTTTACGCTTAATTTTATAAACGTTTAGCAAATATTTTAAATATCGTTTAAACGTTTAGCCATTGCAAAGAGGCCAATGCCTGCTACATGTATGTCTACATGCCAGCGTGATTGACTTAATAGCAGGCAGTCATTGAAAAAGTAAAAACTTCACTCTGTGTACCCTGAGTGTAATCATGCACTCCAGTGCTTCTAAGGTTTTGTCTATCAAATAGGTTTGAAAACATTGTACTATGTATATTTAACTCAAGGAAGATCATGTGAAGTAGGTTCTTTTGTTTAAATTTGGGTTTCGTTTAGTTTTGTAAAATTTGATAACGTATTTAGAATTTGTTTTCCTTTAAACATGTAAACAAGCATCCTTACATGGAAGTCAGGTGAAGTTAACGATATGGAATTATGTGGCATGGATTTGGCAGGGTGGAATACGATCAACTTTACAATACTAGAACGATGACATACAAAAGACACTTCACATTTGCCCTTGATCCATAAACCAGGTTCTCTTATTAGTCTCTATTCTTTCAAGATCCTTATTTCTGTTTCCTGATCCCATCCATAAGAGCAGATGCAGTGGTTGTCACTGATGTGAGTAGCATTAGCAATCTAGCAATGGAATGTCTAGTTTAAAATATTGGTCTTGGCAATGTTTACCCCAGCACATTCTGGAACTAAACAGATAAATATAAAGACCTCTATTTTGGGGGGGGGGGGATGATACTCAACCCCCATCCCAAAAATAGAGTGCACCAGACAGCACATTTGTAGAATTTGTTCCATTCTGTAAAAATGAAAATTCTTTGCAACAATGTTTGATCAGAATTCCTAGAGTTTTATTGTACCCTCAACTAGTGCCTTGAGTTGAGACTACAGCATAAAGGTGCAACAATTGCAATCAGGAATGATTTGGGGTTAAGCATGGTGGAATACTCGTATTTGTTTACTGTTGTGACTGAGAGAAAAATCTATCAGTGTTTAAATTCAAAATCAGATGTCCAAAAGGTTAATTAAAACTGCTCAAAAATATGATCCATGGTCTTTGTTTATGTTATTAATCAATCAATTAATTAAAAACAGCGGTATGATATGACCACATGGGCTGTTAGTTGTTAATAATAGTTAAAGCAAAGTTATACTTAGCAAGTCATCTCCTTGACAACTTGCTGTGAGCTCTGTGCATATATTTGCTCTTAGCAATAACAATGTAAAACTTCAACAATAGACCATAACGATAACCCCTAGGCCCTTTTCGCTGGAAACCATTTAATCTTGCATTACATTTAAATTCTAACAAAACAAAGCAGGGTGCAATATTGTAAACATTTAATAAACTAGTGTCCAAAAGACACAAGACTGGCTAGAACTTCAAGTACATGTAGGGAAACTAACTATCAAAGAGTGGAGCAGAAAGTAAAGCAGAACTACTTGCAGAAAAACGTGTCTAAATTTACTAGGATATTTGCATATATCTAATGTCAACAATCATTAGCTATAAAAAGCACTTGATGAAAAGCACAAACTCATCGTTGTTGATTCATGCCCTGTTGATTTGGGAATTTTTTATTAAGGTTACACAGATCTATTGAAATCTAATCAAAGTCCCCCTCTTTTTGTGATAATAAAGTCAATTTTGTGTAAATCTGATAGTGTGGGGCTATTTTTTTCCTTTCAGCCCTGTGACGTGGGTTCACATCCTACCCATGCATCACATGGATTACATGCTTCAGCAGGTTTCTGATTCTGTATTTTTCCCACGGATTTTCTTAAGTTACCTCCCTGTGTAAAACTAAACTTTTCTCTAGTGTCAAAGGCCATTCTAAGAAATCTTTCGTTCCCCCACACAACCCCCCCCCCCAAAAAAAATTTCCCAGATTTTTTCTGCTTTCACTAACAGTTAACAAAATCCATTATGCATATAATGAGTGCTTTCTGGAAGAAAGATAAAATGTCACACATGTACATGGATGTGTAATGGGTGAATGATGTACAATGTACACAGCAATTGGCCAGTTCGGGAGGGCAGCTAGGAAGAATGAGATTGTTTTATTAATCATTAACATTAAATTGATTTAAGAAGATGAAAAACACAGAACTTTGTGGAATATTTCCTTTGAATTAATTCAGTGAACAAGGAATATTGCCATTTGTTGTTAGCACTTTATTGAAGAAAATTATTAAACAAAAAAATGAAAGTCAAAGTCAAAAAAGAACAACTTTGTTAATAACTGTCAAAAAAAAAAACCAACCAGAAAAAAAAGAATGTTTCAGAACAATTTTATTTATGAAACCTACTAATAAACAAAAATCACTTATTAGCCGAGGAAATTGTAGAGTTTGTGCATTTTTTTCAGATTTCAAAAGGAATCTAACCCTTGCATCAATGTTTTTGGCAAGTAAAACAAGTCTCAGTTAATGGTCATAAAAATGAAGTATCTGAAATTCAGACCTCTATCATGAAAACTGCTTCAAATGTATTACAAGTGAACTGTTTTAAATATAAGAAACAGACAAGAAATTTGTGAAAAATTAAAGTCAACATGTGAACAGCAGACTTGGAAATATGCCGCAAGGAGCACACACGCCGTGAAAACTGGAAAGAACTACGCATGGAAATTCTAATTGGCAAGAGCATCAAACGAACAGCAAATTCTGAAATGAGTCAGAACAAACACAACAAGATTTGGTTGGAAGTAGCCGACAACTCTGCAAAAATGGTGACCGCTCCTTCAATCTTTATACATACGATCTGTTTGGTCTGGATAGCGTCTCTTGCCACGATGGCGATTATCGGACTCAGGGAACTCTCCCTCCCCGAAGAGATTGTCATAGCTATCCTCTAGATTACAAATGGCACAGGTATATGGAGGTGTCAACATAAAAAGGAGAAATGAGGTTGTAGGTTTGTGCATGGGATGGGGAGGGGGGGGGGTGTCATGAGAGTAAGTTTACTACTTGGGGTGGGTTTGGGTTCCTGGTTGGCGCAGTTGTACTATGGGAGATCATCACTGTGGACTTCTTTTATGATGCCACAAATTTCTTTCAAAAATTGGGTATTTCTTTCACAACAGAATGCTCATTATCTTTTTCAGCAATATCTGTATTTTGTACAAGAAATTCATGATACCACACAGGAAATTTGGGATCCAGTAAATAAATACTGTTGTCATAAAAGAAATTTCTGTAAGTGTACAAGAAAATTTGTTGGTTAAGAAAAATCGCTTGTATCATACAAGACATTTTGATATTGTGAAAGAAATTATTTACCCTACCCCTAGGCCTTTTTTTTGCTAGGAACATCCTCAATCCTCACAATTTTGCACTTATGTTCAAATGAAGAATACCCACTGCCTCAATCCTTCTAAATCTTCAAACAGCCCTTCTGAATCCTCCAACAGCCCTGCCTCTCAAAATGCATTCAGCCTCAATTACCAAAATCCTCCTCTTCTTCAAACACCATTTAGCCTCATCCTCCAAAATCAACCGATATCGAATGTCCATGTGCCCTAAATCCTCCACAATCCTCCAAAACTGCATGTTGCATTCAAAACTGTATGTTGCATTCAGCCTCAATCTTCCAAAATTGCACGGAGGACTTTGGTTGATTGAGAAAGGTTAAGGTTAATGTTGATATTACTTCAAGTTAAGCTACATGTATATTCACCTGCTGGTCTGATTGGCTGTGGAGGCGAGGGTTTGTACAGTTCCTTTTGTGCCTGTTTCTGGGCCTGTAGCTTCTCTTCCTCTACCTCCTCCTTGGTCTGTCTCTTCGTGGCTGATGCAGTGTCCTCCCCGTAACCACCCAGAGCGATATTTGTCTTACCACCCGGTGGAGCTAGTACTCTGAAATATTCAAAATACATAACACGACAAAATGACAAAGTAGACTACATGTGTGATGTATTTCGTTACTTTTTTAGCGACTATGACCAGAACTTATTTCAAAGGGGGGAAAAAAATTAAGGCCAGATGTCACCTCATGTCACATAAAAGAGTAGAGAACAAAAACATACTTTCTGTTTTCGGACTTAGGCCAAAAAAAAGAATAGTTCTGCTTCCGGTTACCCGACCGACCCTATTTTTAGGCTGCGACCCTAAAAATGTTATCGGCGATTCAAAAAAAAAAAAGAAAAAAAGATTGAATAAATAAAAATATAATTTTGTTGTCTTTTCTGTCTTCACAAAATACCTCATAACAACCCTTTTGCATAAAAAAAATGCTTGTATTTATTTGTTTTCTTACTTACATTCGCTTTTTTTCAAAAGAAACCTCCGTTATTTTTACAAATTCGCTTCGCGATATAAACGATGTCTGTACGGTGACTATATCACGTGGCGACGACTGGTTCCCGCCGCGCTGCGCAGGGGCCAATTTAGAAGACATGATGAAAATGCGGTAATCAGTCCATAGCTATGCGATCGCGACCGATAGCGCACTAGCAGTGCAGGCCACTGTCAACTGGTCGGATTCGACATCGTGAAAAATGCCAAGAAAACACCGATGGAGAAAGAACATTTTTGCAAGTTAATTTACAGAATTGATCTAGATTGTCTGTGTATGTATTTTCTGTGTTCATGAGTTCATTTTGAGATCGCACTACTCGTATTTGGAGTGATACATGCCGCGTGTTTCCCGAAATTTTTGACTGTGAAAACAGGTCTGTCGGCCCATGGCGGGCCGCTCGCCAAACATGCTTGCATCACACACCTAGGGAGTTTTGGCCAGCTCCCCGCGTCTTGACTAGCGTTGTGCATATGGTGCGAACGACCTGAATTTTCCATTATTTTTTGAAATTATCGAACATAAATATATTGACAATAATTAAAGGTAGGTTTTATTCACTTTTTGTTGCCATTTCGTGTATAGCTTTCGTAGTGCAATGGAAATAGTTCAGGCTAAAACTTCGCATATAATTGAATACCCCATTCAATCTGCATCAAAAAAATTGGCAAAAAAAAAAAAAAAATTCCGACCGACCGACCCTATTTTTGAAAGGCAAGTAATCGGAAGCAGAACTATTTTTTTTTTGGCCCTACCTAAATAGTCGGCGATGACACCAGCATAGTTCGCTAAGATACTATGTTGAATATTTTCAGCAGGCTTATTTTGTACAAAGAGGGCAGGGTTTAGTTTAATGAGGGAAATTAAGGGGTAAAACTCCCGGAAGCAGAAAATGGTCTGAACTACTGTGACTGGTACATCTCTAACCATCAAAGCAGGTAAGAAAGTCATACAACTGTTTTATGCGTTATGGGCTATTGAAATCCCCACTGACATTGAGAGCCTTCTGTTTGAAAAGTGTTAGCACGGTTAGCCATGAAACAGTCGTTCTCTTGCTTTCCACGACCGTGACATGAGCTATAGGCCTACTCACTTAGCTGGGGACTGGGGTGATTTAATTTCAAGTGACAACATAATTTCGATCTCATATGTGCTCCCCTAGCAACGCAACGGGACGGGACCATCCACGCACAGGCAATATACTGTCAGACCCCCTAAAGCTACGCGGTCCTTTTTCTACGCATTCTATTTTCTCCTCTTTTTTTGTTTACAAATACTTGTGTGCGTTGCTAAAATAAATACAAATTATGTATCGTGCTTATCTGAGTACAAAACAAAATAAGCAATACTACATTGTACACGTAGACGGTAAAAACTATTTCAAGTTAAAAGATACAGTTCATTATATATAGGGGGCCTAGTCTGCGCCTATTCAATGGATTAGTTAGACAGTCGATACAAAATAAAGCAGATTAATAGGTAAAGTAATACAAAGAATGAAGCCCAATGAACGGGGAAACATCTTTAACTATAAGAACATGATTAATACTCAGTTGCAACGGCGAAATTTCACGGTTTTCTTCTTATTTTTGTTAGTACCTTACACAGACTGGCAACAAGTCTAGAAGTACATCATGGCACCTTTGGCGGTGTGGTGAATTGGCCGACTCTGTTCGTAATGAGTAGAATGGATCACGTTTGTAAACACATGTGCATTTCAAGCGATAATAAGGAGTCGGGAACTAGCGCAGCTTTTATGGCGGATACCAGTTCAAGCTGGTTCCCGATTCCCTTTTACAGTCGAAATGCACATGTATGTGTTTACAAACGTGACTCATTATCATAATCGATGCATCGCGCGCGCTCGGTAACGGAATCGCACTCGGGATACGGGGACCATCGAATGTACGCTGGGCATGTAGAAGAAATCGCGTCGTTCAAACATTAAACACGATCGGAAATTTAACGTGTTCAAGATCGCGAGGGAGCTCTCCGAAATGAACGGAAAATTTCACTTTTTTTCCGGATCGTAAGTAAACTTTAGTACAACCATCTTAATTATCGATGTCTACTTGTACCTCAGGTGGCATATCTAGTAATTTGGAGGCTGTTTTGAAGGTGAAATCTGATGTTTTTTGTTGGAAAATGGGACGGTGTTGTCCAGCTCGCGGTATTAGCTTGGACCTTACTATCGCCAGACCATGTCCAAATGTTAAAAAAGGCGATAAGTTGGGTCCAAGTTGAAGTTACTCGGACTACCTACATTTTTTAACATATACCTTTATTGTTATCCACATCAGTGATACAATAAGAACATTAAGAAATTACATTTATTTATAAATAAAAACATCTACATTTTGTTCATTATCACACAGAAAACGTCAGACATGGACAAATTCACAAATGTATAGTCGGACTCCTTATTATCGCGGCATCCCTATTATCGCGGCATGGGAAATTTCTCTTTTTACAGTGTCAAAACTCCTTCAAGTGGCGATTTTTATCCAGTTCACCAGTCATCAAGGATTTTCTACCGAGTTGTATAAAAAGGACGATTAAAAAATGTTGTGTCTTTCGGGACTTTTAACGATTTTAATAAATATTAATGTTTTCCAAAACTTGCAAAATTTTCCCTCACCGTGTCTGCTAAAAGGTACCGTTTGTACTTTAACATAAATCTTTAATTGCGCTCTGTCCATGAAAGTTCCATTGTCTGGTTCCCATTCTTCAGCTGCAAATGTAAAATGAAGTCGAACGACGATATTTGCAGCGCGAAATCGTAACAACTTTTACGGGATCAAAATAAGCACCGCGCGTTAGCGAAAATAAAACGGCACACCGTGTAAAGTGAATGGCGCCCTCAATCGCCGATCAGTAGACTTGCCTCGGGGATTTGTGTTCTCCTTTCGGGGGAAGGGCAGGGTCTTAAGAAATCATCCTGCAGACATTTTGTCTTTAATCAACTTGAACGTTACAGGGAAAATATCAGACTTTATTCAGGGGGTGTTTTGGTCAAACATAAACTATGAACAAAAAAGTTGGGATCATTATAAAAACCACTTCCCGCATACCGCGATAATAGGGAGTCCACCTCCGTTCGCACACGCCGCGCATGTCTATTTTCACAGGCATCGTACACGGAATAAACCACACCACCCTTCAGATTTTTTTATATTAATTTAAAAAGGAAGAGTTATACTACACATAAGACATGACAATTCTGGAAGGTTAGTGGGCAATCTCTATTCCGAACGAGAAACGTGATAAGTACCGCGATAATACGGCGTTCCATACTACATACACCAATGTAGCAGTAAAAAAAAAAAAAAGGAAGAAGGGGGGAACCTAGGACTCAGGCGTAGGAACAGGGGGGGAACCCTGAAAGGGCCTGGCAAGGTAAAAGGGGGGAAATGCCACCATCTGGAGGGGACAAAGCTATAAAAAAAAAAGCAATTTGGAGGGACATGTATATAGAAAAAAAAAATTAAAAAAAAAAATACTTAATTTTTGGGGCCTTCTACTTTCTAGTAATGAAAATAATCAACATCAATCCTTGTTTTACCGGCCGTACCATAATATGTTTGTGAACGAGCAGTACCATACCGGATTTACAAATGCGATTGCGATAACGAAATTGAAATTCCTAGTTTCGGCGCACCGAATTTACAAACGAAGTGGCTATCGTTACGGCACTCGTTGTTTAGCGCCCTCTACGATTTTTTTTTGATACGCACGCAGGTATATAATTATTTGTTTCCCCACGTTTTATCGAGCAGTGCGCCAGCTCAGCCGATAGAGGGTAGGATTTTGCACCGCGAGGTTGCGGGTTCGAATTTCAGTTTTGCACTCGAATTTTTTTCCTTTTCTAACCTGAGGCTTTGGAGGATTTTTTTTAAAAGGGAAATAAAGTCCGAATTTCATAAAGTTCAAATTCACTTTTTTCCTTCTAATTTTATATTTTCTTGTCATGTTTTTTTTATAAAAGTTGCCAGGTTGCAGTCTACCGTAACGATAGAAAATGGGAAATGCGTTACGGCTGCCGTAACAATAGCCACTGCGATTTACAAATCCGTTGCTTTCTACTTCTGCAACAGCTTCGCCTTTCCGGGCATTGCCATTTGCGCAACGGCGACGGATGACGAGATCTTACACCCACCTTGAGGTTGGCTTAGCAACAGTTTCCATGCCAACACAGTTACCTGTAGACGTCATTTTGGGCAACAATTTTGATGAAGTTTATCCCCGAAGTAAAATATGTTGTAAAAAAGCAATATTTCTGACTCTATTGGTCGATTCTTTTCTCACAAAATTTAGCAGACACACACTACACACCGTCCCCGCCTGTCGGTAATGGCATTAGTCGGGTGCCTATAATATTTCTTGTAATTAATTCGCGTTCGAAGTTCAGGTACTGTGCCCATGTCATTTTTCGGCGCGGTCGTTGAGTGATACATGAATATGCATGATTTTGTACTAAAACATTATTTGATTGGCTTATGGATTAATTATATTTGTACTCAGTCATATTATTTGATTTAGGAATAGGAGATATTAAGAAAAATATATGAATTCGTACAATAACAATTATTTTTAGTGGTAAATTCGTAGTATATTGATGATAATTTACTAAATTGTATGGATAATGAGTGACTTTGCTCTGTTAATGCATCAAAAATTGGCCAATCGCCAGGGCTGTATTATTTATTTTTAGTCATTCATTTGCAAATGCAATTACCGTAAAGGAAGCTAAAGATAATAATAATTTTCGGTCTCTGATTAATATTACACAATTATTTACTCTTCTCCCAGTCCCATTAATATTTCTCTCTGAACCTGTTAAAAAGATGCAATTATATGTTCAAAAGGGCAATTAGCTTCCTGAAAAGCTTCAAGTTCAAGATCACGAGCCGAGAGAAATATACAAAATAAAATAATGCAAACACTACTCACGTCCACGCGATCTAAACACACGAGAACAGAACAGGAACAACAATTTTAATTGATCGATATTTATAATATCACGTCAGATTGCTGCTTTAAGGCTTCCGGTTTAGGGGATTCCTTTTGTCACATGATCTGAAGATGACCAATGAGAGATGGGATTTCCCAATTAATGAATCGTCATTTGGCGCCAGTCACAGTGTTTACATCGGGAACGTACATGTACATAGGCCCAGCTCCATGTTCACGTACTGTACGGTACGGTACAAGTCAGTGCTACAACTCCAGAAAGCGCGTAGTACACACGTACAACCTGAGTGACACACACCTAGTTCACTAGCACTAGCTAAAATTTAAGATGGATATTATAAGCTTTTCTGGATTCTATCAAGTTTTGAGTATTGTTGACCCCATGATTTGCCACATTATTTGTCTGGTTTAGGACCAAAAGTACGATGAATGAAACTGATGTTACAAAAAGGTGAGACCCCGCAGAGTTTTACTGCAACTTTTGCAAGTGTAACCGAAGTTCTTCAAGTTTCGTCGGTAAACATGGGATGCAGTCATGGCAGTGTAGTAGGCTTACTAAACAAGCAGTACTTTTTAGATTTTAATTAATCTGATTGCAAGATTTGTGTGAAATTGTTGTATTGTCACCAATCCTCCATGAAGTTGATAAGTTTTGCAAAATGTGATTAAGAAGTCTTTTTTTGTTGTTTCCATCTCACAATTATTACAACCCGACTGCCCCAAAAAGCCTTCTGCATCTGCATCAATACTGCTCAACACTCCTTGTTGCATTGTCAATTAGATATAGATGATGCGATAATTTATTACTGTCGAGTGGCGATTTTTTACGTAACTGATGACAAAAATCTTGTTCTCAAAATTTCACAATGAATTGAGGAATTTGAGGACTCCATTAATTTTTATTTTGTATCATTATATGCAAAAACGAAAATGCATGATGACAGAGAACTGGAAGATGCCCAATTTTATGAGAATATATACGGGACTCAATTGCTGTATTGCATTGCACCAAACATGGTTAAAATGAAATAATTAATTGAAATATCTCATGTTTAAATACCTGTTTTGAAATAGTTTAGCTTGCTGTAATTGTTAAGATTTTCAAATCCTCTGAGAGGGCATTATTTATATATCACAGGCACTTTGCCAATAAATCTTTGGATGTTGAAGTTCCGCACAGCGCCGCTAAAAAAAACACCAAGTGGTTTTTGTTTTTAATTGATCGAGTTTTTCTTGGACTTTTTGCTTAGATCATTGCATAAATATCAACATGTATGAAATGTGTGATTAGTGATTTTGTTTTATATCCAATTGGATTAAATGACACCGACTTGAAATGACTTAATGAATTTGAACATCCAAAATGAACCTGCTCTTCGGCAGGGATGCTTGAAGTTGTAGATCATCTTTGACATGTGCGCCTAGCGAAGTAGGGTTGGTCAAGTATTTTTTTGTTTCAACTTTTTTTAATAGATATTTCAAATTGGATCTAGTTAATTCTAATGTGATAAAGTACGGATAATATAGGCCCACTATTTTAAAAAGTGGACAAAATGAAACTTTCTAAGCGAAGTTCCATTTTCACATCTCGATGCATGCATGATGGAGATGAAGACCCAGAAATTACTGCGCGCTGTCTATGGAATGTCATTTTATATTTTCCCAAATCTTTAACTCTCGGGAAAAAAAAGAACCTGGAATGGTACTCTATGTGGTAAAGAGCTTGATTTAATTTTATAAATTCGTCTAATAAGCTGTTAAGAAGGAAAACCATCGCAAATTAAAAACATATGAACTAAATTGTAGTGAGCTGGGGAGAGCGTGGCATCACGTTCGCGCTGATCGGCGCAATGCGACAATAAGGCAGCTTCATGTAATGAACATTTTGGATTCTGTTCAGTTTGAGAGAGTGCCAGTGTAAAAAGACTCGAATTTCTATCGAAAAATGACCGCCGATTTTCATCCAGACTAAGTGTAATCATCTTTAGTGTCGATGGTGAAACGTAGGAAGGAACCTAGGGGAGATGAGGCACCGGCCAGCGCCGCCAAAAAGGGGTAAAATTGTTCGCATATTTTTCATCAAAAATGTTTTGCACGGATAAGATTTGGATTGTCGATTGGATGTGTGACGTGCGCTCTATCTCTGCTGTTCGAATTGTTTACGAATGTGTTGTCTGCTCCAAAATCCTGCTTTGTCTTGCAATTATGTCCATATTAAGTTAACAGTGAGTGCATTTGGACATTATTCTTTCGTGAAAGTAATTTTTGGTGAACATGTGAGTCTTGGAACGCGTTTTATAATCGTTTGATTTTTACTTTGTGCAAAGGAAGTGTTGTTCGAAAGCAGACTGGATTGCAGTCGCCATCTTGAATTTTCACCCACTCGTAGTTTTACAGTGACAAGAATGTCCGATTAATTTCGTGGATGAACGTCTCATGTTTGCTCGATTTTTCACAAATTCTAGGGTGCAAGTGCAGTCTAGCACCAGTGAGGAGGTAAATTCGGGGGAAAAATCTCCCGATCTGGAAGAACCAGCCGAAATGAAGGGGTCCCATATCGAGGGCGTTAGTGCACCCGAGAACGGACCAGCCCAACAGCCAGACATGTCAGCAGACGAGATTAAACAAGAACAGCCAGCTCCTGCTGCCAAGCCACCTCTAAATCATCCGTTCCTCAGATCGAGTGTCAAAAGAAAGAAAAAGGAGCCAACACCCCCACCATCACCTCCAAAACCTGGTGAATTATCTTTTTTTTCGCTTTTTTGTTACTAACTTAAAATTTACTGTAATTGTGTGCATGTGAACAAAGGCAATTTGGGCACCACAAGAAACTACCATGACAACAGATCATTACAGTCTGTTTTGATTTGCGGTAACTTTGCGAGTTTTTTAATTTCTTGAGATAGGCCCTACCTTGATTTTATTAATTGTTTAAAGAACAGCAGAGGTTTCTACATGTGAATTTATAGTCTGGAGCAAAATAATAATTACAAAATACAGATAATTGTTCTGACGGAAGAATTTTTTTGTCTTTTGGCACAAATTGATGCGTTTCCTGCAAGCAGAGCAACGCATTACAATGTTTGTATTTACATCATTTTTTCATTATGTAAATAACCAAGAAGCTGCTTAATGTATCAAATATTTGGTAATATTTCCTTTTTCAAAGATGAGACAGAGAAGGCTGAAGCCAAGCCAGACAGGAAGCGATGCTGGGAGGCATGGAGCGATGGAGAAACAACGCTGTTCTTTGAAGCTGTCAACGAGGTAGTGTTTTGAAATTGCATACATGATGTTTCATGCATACACAATTCATCACTGTTTTCACAAAGGAACAGGCATGTCAAATGATATGACAATCTCGTCATGAAAAATGGCAATGAATAGTGTTAGACATACCAGCACCTACACTTTGTATGATGTGTTGGCAACAATTTTGCACATTCTTCTGAATATTGGTTGATGTTGCGTGGCTTTGATGTGTGTACCCGTTCCCATTGACTGTCAGTGTTGTGCAGACTCGGATAAAAGTCGGTCGTGCGTACTTGATGCTACATGCATGCGTGTCAATGCGTAAACTCCCTGAGAAGTGCCACCTACATGTACATGTACTGTTCCTTCTCAGAATCCAACTTGTCTTCAGTATATATCCACATCGCACATCTTTGACTTTGTTAGTGCAAAAAAATCTCTAGAATGTCAATCTTTTGTTCACTTTTACAGTACGGGAAAGACTTTGATGCCATTCAGAAGTACATTGAACAGCGACACAAGAAGCTCGGCTTGGCAGCTCATCAAATCAAGAACAAAAACCAGGTAATTTATTCATGATAAACTGTTCTTGTACAATTTAAGAAAGGTTAAAGGTAGAGTCCATCATTTGTAATTTGTGCATTTTGTTCGTTTGAAGCAACAAAAGAGTTCAAAATCTAATGAAGGATACTGAGCAACTAACCTGATGAAGTTTCAACTAAGCTTCAGCTGTACATTCCGAGAAAAACAGCATTCTAAGATCTCAATTTCAAATCAAAAGTTGCTGAATCATGTTTTGAATTGTTTTGAATTGCAACTATACGCGACGTCGCGCACTGATCCGACGAATTATAACAACCGCGCGCGCGTGTGCGTCGTTCGAATACTTGTGCGCGCTGCGCTGAATAACAAAACGAACTACTAATTTAAATTTTCCTACGGTGCTTCTTAAGAATCACCGTTGGAAATGCCTTCTTTCGTTGATTACTTCAAAATGACAGCTTCCCAGAAAGAATAATTTCACAGGACGTTTAGTCTCCTTACTATCTTTCAACCAAGTTAGTTTTTCAACAATAATTACGCCAGTTACTTTTCGGATGGCTGCAAATGATGGACTCTACCTTTAAGTAGAGTTATTGTAACTGCTTAATTGCGCCTAAAAACTTGGAAGTAGGTTGATTAAGATTTGGATGTTGTGTTTGCAGGTGAGGCATCTGTACTACAGAACGTGTCATAAACTGTTCAGCTTTGTCGATCCTAAGCCAGGTGAGTCCAGTTTTACTATCCCAAAGTTGTAAAATAGCTGATTAAGAAAACCCATATATTTAGTCCTTTCTTTCAAGAGCTTAGAAAACAGCTGATTTGGCTTACTTAAGTAGTTGATTCTGAATAAAGACTTTCATTCCAAACAAGTTTTCATGACGGTAAATTAGATTATATTATCAATTGCTCTCTCCAGATCAAGGGAAGACCTTCAGTGAACTGTTAGCCTTGGTAAACTTTGGCGAGTTGAGGAAGAAACTGAGTTTGAAAGGGGGCATCACCCGGAAAATAGGACAGAAACTCAATCTACTCGTCACTAATGGGTGAGTTACAAAATTCTCTGATTGGTAATTTGGATCTTAGGGTAGGGTTTCTTTCTGTTTCACATTTTGGGGGAATGTGGATAAACTAGCGGAAGTTCAAAGTTTCGTCTTTGTTACTGTTTGAATATTGTAGGCAAACATTGATCCGTGTCAAAGGCCAGAACCGACGAGTCAAGACACCTCTTTGCAAGGCACTCAGAAAACTCAAAGGTGAGAAATGGTTCTGGAAAAAGTGTTAATAATTTGTAAAAATTTGGTTTTAATTTTCTGCTAAATTGATCATTGTCATGCTCTTTTTACTACTTCACTTTCCACCTCACAATATGTAATGGCACTAAGATTTTTGCAAAGGACCCTTGAGATTGTGGAAAGAAATTGATGGTGTTTGTATTCTTTGTCAATTACAAGGTGACGAGAACAAGTCGGAGCCCTACAAGTTACCAGCTCATGTCTTGATGGAGTTACAGCCGAAGAACAACAAGGCATGGGCCTCAGTCCAAGGCACGGCACACAACCCAAGAGTCAGGTAAGTAGAAGCTAAGCATTTCATTTTGCCAGGATTGGATGACATGAAGGCAGCAGTAGTCTATGAGTATTAACTATCGTAGTGTTGTGTAATACTGAGCGAGGTCACTGGATTTATCCTAGTGATGGATCATGCCACACATTTTGCAACTGTTCCAGCCATTGGTACTGCACAAGTGTTCGAAGCAAAGTAAAATCGTTTGGAAAATTGGTCAATAAATTCTACCTCACGCTGGTCAGCTGTTTCGCTGCGGACTGTAATCGTACAAATAAAAGTCACACCTGTAGATTTTTGTCCAGTTTCCTAACAAAACAACACAAAAACGCTCAGGAAATACATGAATCCATAGTGAGTAGTGGCAATGTTTGAATCGGCGTGATCCTGTTGCTGTGCCAACTACCAGTTTTGGCAGATCTCACGCAATCACTTCGATAGTGAATTGTTTTGTGAAACCTCTCTCATCTTGGAAAAAGCATACACGGTCCATTGGCAACTATGTCGGGTCTCTTTAAGTCTTGCCCGTACAATAACCAAATCTGCCGAGTTGGCTCTCTGTGGATTGTTGAAGAGACGCAATTGCAGCGAGAGTCGTGCACAAGGACAGTATGTCGCTTAAGTTGTAACTGATTCTTGCTTTGGACAGTTCATTCATTAACATGCCTTTGTGCTTTCTTTTTGCAGGTTGGTGATTTCTCTCAAGAAAAACCTGAGTAGCATCATCAGCTATCTCAACGACAAGTGGACACCGTATAACTCAAAGCTTGTATCCTTGTAACCTCAAATTCTGTCCAAATTTCATTACAGTAACAACTATGTCACCATTTGCACTATTTGCATGAATTAATGTAAATATTGTAGTAATTTCATTTCTGTGAACACTTATTTCACCTTAACTTGTCAACCTTGTGTTAGTTGAACACACTGAAGCCCACAGATGACGTCAAAAACTCTCTGCGACTTAGACTATTGCTTTCGGAAGGAGTCGAGGTGACACCACACAACCAAGTGACTGGACGCTACATGCACAGCGACAGCAGGGCCGTCTTCTCATTGGACACTGAGGCTCGGGTCACAAAGGCTGTGGCTGCTTCAAAGGCTGCGAAGATCCAACGTGCGGCTGCTGCGCCGTCGACACGTACTCCTTCTGGATGTAGCCTTGATTGTACCAAAGATGTTCCCGGTTTGGACAAGACAGCGGATAAGGGCAACTGCGACAGCAACACCTTGGCAGGCAAACCAAGAAAGTATAAGCCTCGTAAGAAGGCCAAGCTTGCCAAAATTGACGAGTGTAGCAATGAGGCGGGGGACCAGGAAGTACAACCAGTGCCCATCATCACTTCAAACCACCGCAGAAAATCAGAGGACTCGGAGCCCATGGAAGTCACCAAGAGTGATTCGTCAAAGAGTCCTATAAAGGAGGAAGCAAATGAAACAGAGAAAATGGAAACTGAAGAGCTGCCAGAGGTAAAATCAGAAATGGAGACGATTCCTCTGGAGGAGATGCAATGGACAGTGGCTCCAGAGAAGGAAATTACCAAAGACGAACAGTTGATGGGAGAGCTTTCAGCAGAGAACTCCAAGAATCTGACCATGACGGATATTTATTTAATGGTAAGGAGGCAAGCATAGGCAGTTCCTTATTGGATCTGTGCATGAATTTGAGAAGGATGCTTTGGCCTACTCACCCTTGAGAAATTCCAGCTGAGCTATCTTTCTCATGAGAAAAACTCCAGTAGCCTGGCTTTGAATATTTCAGTACTTGAATTTTCATGTGAGGAACTTGGTAAAATAGATAGAAATAATAAATTGTGCTAAAATTGATCTGAGGAATTCTCCAGAAGTTAGTTTCTCATGTGCATTTGTCTTTCCATCTGCAGTTAAATATGCCTACCCGTTTGAAGTTTGAGTATGAGTTTGTGAAGGAAGAAAGCGGCTCAACTGATGATAAGCCTCGGAATGAGTCCAAGCTTCTGCACAAGCTGCTTGCACTCGCCAGCACAGAGTTCACTGACATCAGGAAACCTAGAAGGGTAGGTTGCTTCTCTTTGGTAAAGTATCCTGTGTTGGTTATCTTGATCTAAACTCCCAAGGCATTCTGGAAGCTCTCCTGAATCCTCTGAAATCTGTTATTGTGCAAAAATCAATGGCTCATTCTCTGTACCAATGGACATCAAACACTGTCAGATAGTAGTGACTGGGCAGAACTCCCCTTGATCCTCCAAAATCCTACCAAAGATGTTGTTGGATTTTAAAGGAATTGGGAATTACCGAGAAAAAAAATCAGGCCAAGTAGACATGATCGCCAGTCCAATCCTCAAGTCCGGGGATAGATTGACTATAAGCTAAGTAAGCTTTTCAAAGTTAAAGTATTTTTAAAATTGCTATCTATAAAACAACGTCTACAAAAACGACATCCCTTGTATAAATATTATGAAACACCAACCAATCTCAATATTTTGTGATAACATTTCTTGCAGAGTATCTCAGTTGGCACAGTAACGTCCCCACCACGCTTCAACATGATGCCAGGCAACAACACAACACCGCCCTCTAAGGCCTCCTTCATCTCGCAACTCTCCAAGAGCCCAGGTACCCCACGAGGTGGAAGGAACGCAACCAGCAACGGTTTGATGCGAGTCAACTCGCGACCTGTCGGCAAGCCTACCGGCACAGGGAATGCCAAGGATAAAGACAATGGGGTTTTCCTGAAGCCTGCCGTGCCGTCATCACAACAGCAGCACTCGGCTTCCATGGAGTCGTCAACGACTGCTGCGGAGAAGCTGTTCATGGCTCAGATTGAGTCACTACAGGTATGTTAACTATCAACTCATTGCTTGTTTGTTAGTTTTTTGCTTCAATAGTTAAATGAGACATTAAATGGACTGAATTGAAAGAACCACATTGGAACCTTTTTTTTTTTTTTTTTTTTTTAAACAAGGCATATCTGGGCCTTAACAGCTAGAAACATTATTAATTAATAGAGACTGCTGATGGCTTGTCGCCCAGATAGCGAGTCACCTTCCTCTTGAAGCTGGCCAGATTCCTGTTCGTGGGTATGATTCTCAATTAAATAGCTTTAAGTTTTCAGTGTACATATTTCATGCCCGCCATTTCCTGAACAGTTTGTAAGGTTTGTTTTAACATTGTGGTGGAATCAAGCCATTGTAGATAAATTGTTGTTTGATTTATTCTGCAGAAACAGCCGTTTCTCAAGCCTAACAATAGAAGAGGAAGAAAGCCGCTAGTTGTACAGGTAAATCCTTTTTTAATCTTCTGAATTTTTTAACATTGTTGAAATAATTTTAGTAATTTACAAATCAGCTGACACACTGAATTTGTATGTATAACATGCTCTTAAAAGTGATGATGCCATACTTTGGTCCCTAGAAATATTGACGTGTTTTGTGTAAAGCTTTCGTTAATTTCAAAAACATGGAAATATAATCGACATGATTATTAACCCAAGGTGTTCAACTTTTCACTTGATTTTCTTTTCTCAAATGTCCACAGAGAACATTACTTCCCAGACCCCTGTGTGAACACAAAGGTCCCACCAGACACATGATGTCCATGTCTAAGACCGGTCAGTTTACACCCGTCCAGCTGGGCATTCCGGACAGCGTCAGTCAGAAGACCATAGTACGTCCAGTCCCCATTGCCCCAGGCCCAGCTTCTCGTGGTCTGCCGTCGAGCAGCGCATCAAGTAAGTCAGAGCTAATAATACAATATACCCAAAAATGTGTTATTATTTAACTTTTCCCGAATCCTTTGATATATTTGACTTGAAATTGTTATCAATGCTTTCAGAATTAATGCGTGCATGTTTTTATAAGTCTTCCCTTGCTTAATCTTTCAAATGCGGAACGTGGAACAAATAATCTTGTAGAGTTTCGTTGAAAGAAACAGGTTTTCAATTTTTCTGCTGTTAGAGATTGCTGAGTTGGCTTGGCTGCTTTGAGAATGAAAGTGGGATAAAACCTGGCTTTGGGCCTGCCAATTTGTTGAAATTACCATTTTATTTTATCGGTAATGGGGTAAAGTCACGAATTAATTGAAGGTGTAAGCTTCTCCTGGTGTTGTATATGATGTGAAATTCCTTGTGTAACAGTGCATTATTTTACAGATCGACAATTGAGCCCATTCAATCATCGTGCTCTACTAGGGGACCCTAATAACCGATAATTGTCACGCTAAATATTATTGCCTTGTAATACAATGTACATTGTTCTTTTGATGATCTCACCATCAGGTAAGGCCTCTATGCCATCCAGCTCGGACCGTACCAATAGTCCCATCCTCGCCTATGCTGCATCCCCCATCGGCAGTCCAGGCCAGTCTATGGTTGCCTCGCCTCTCAATGCTTCCTCCCCTGTCTCATCGCTTGCCATGGCCACGCCTACATCGTTATTGCCTGGAGGCGTGGCACCCATGAATGAGGTAGGTGGATAGCTTAGTTATAATCTTGCTAAGCCAAAGAATATGTGATGCGATCAAGATAAATGAGTCGTTTGTCGACCCTGGTCAATTTTTTTTTTACAGTTTTCAAAAGAGCACAATCTCAGCATTACTGCTGGGAAAACTGCATGCTGATACCATCTTTAGTTCAAAAATTATGAAAGTTGGAACACCAAGAGATGTGATGAAGTGATGTGATGAAGTGGCCCTATTTTGGCCTGAATCTTCAAATGAAAGTTCCCGACAAACGACTCAATTAGCTTGATCGCATCACATATGGTTTGAATGATTTGATGGATGCAGCACTTTCGAGCCCAGCTAACATTTCTTGGCAAAGGCTTTATGCAGAGAATATGCCTTTCTTTCACTTCAGTGTTTGAGTGTTTCTGCAATTTGGAATACTTCTTATCAAACTACCCGGGTATAACTGTTGCTATTTTTGCTGTTCTAGGGTGGGTTATCTTATGTACTTCAGGAAATACAAAGTAGAATATCTGTGATCGTGGAATGTTCTAAGTGTTGTGAGATGGTGCCTTAGAAATAAAAGTCTGGTCAGATATTCTTATCAATGAAATCTCATCTAAGGTAGCAACTACCTGTTATTCAGACTTATCAATGGTAGGGACAACAACAAATCTCTTGGATTGAAAAAGGTAGAAATGATTATGGTTCATTTGGAAAATTAAAAAAAAATTAAAACAAATCCTTCCTAATTCGTGACGGTCTCTCATCAGTCCCACATATATTTATCTTAATAGAATTCAGACCAAGAATTGTTACAACTCTATAAATTTAAAGTCAAATCATTTCTCTCTCTTTTTTTAAACAGATTGAAGCAGCCAGTGCAGCAGCAGGCATAGATACCACCCTCCGCCCCAGCCCCCCAGAGCACACGCACCCACCCACCGCCTCGCCCCTACCCATGGACACGACGTCATGCATCGCCCATGCCGGCCCCGCCAAAACCCCCATGTTGAACCCCAGCCCACAGATCATAGACGATACCATGGAGATTGTATCCGTTACTCCCAGTACCAGCTTTGATACCTCTGAGACGGGCGGGGCTCTGGACACAGTGGGTACGGTGGGGCAGACTTTTAGTATCCCAGCTCCTAACTTGTCTTCGTTGTTGGACATTTCGTTACCGTCTTCAGCTGCTGCAGGAGCTGGCGATAGCCTGATGGACATACCCATAGGATCAGCATCATTCACAGGTAGGCTTCTTTTTTCTTCTTCTCTTTCATAGAAATTTAAGTGACAGACATTTACCGATCCCAGATCATAAGAGAGTAATGTCAGAAATGTCCAAAGTTTCTTGAAAATTATTTGCTAACGTTTTCCTGTCAGATATTTTAATGTAAATTTATAAAAAGTTTGCATCCAACTTCGTGCAAAACTGATTTTCTGAAATGCTAGTTTAACACATTTGTTTAATGTAGCACAGCATAGCTTTGACGTTTCTAGGCTAAGAATTAAACAAGAATTGTTTTCAGTTTCATTGGCATTTTTTTGTATTCTTGTTATAGAAAAAGTCTTTAGTGTTGCAAAGATACAATGTTTAGTGTTGTAAGAAACAGTGTTTAAAACTCCACAATACAATTGAATGAATGGAATCATTTTTGTTTCATTGCATAGGTTTCAACCAGCAGCTGTCACCAAACACCAGCAACCCCAGCGTTATGCTGCCCTCTATGTCCCCAGTGCGTGAGTCTGGTACCACAACTCCTCCACTGCACCTAACCAGTCCGTCTTCCTCGCCGTTCAAACTCAACTCTCTCAGTCTGGACAACCAGTGGCTCAATGGAGAGGTAGACTTTCATCTGCTCGATTGCTTACTAAATTAAACTGAGAAACTGTCATCACCAATGTGTATCGCGTGACTTTATTTGGTTTAAAAACAATACAATTCCTTTACAAAGTTTACTTATAATCACCACCCCAAAATCTGATACAATACAAAGCTGCTATAAGAAACACTGCTGTGGACTCTGTGCCCAAACAATAAACGGCGCTTTTCGACCACTTTTGCGAGCCTAGTGGACAGGACACATGCATATGGCGCAGAGTAGGCAGGGCTTATTTTATTCTGAATCTGCACAGAGCCATAGCGTCTTCGCGTGAGTACCGGGCGTCTTTGGCAATGCATTCGATTGTCCCTCCCAACTCTCCCTTGTAATTGTTGAGAGGTTACTTGAGCATGGAGCCCATACCGACCCTCTTGAACAGACATCTGCTTTGGTTCCAATATTTGTGTAAAATGCTGCCATTGTTTTGGAAAAGTTCAACTGTACGTGGTTTACTTAGGCCGTGTCCGAAACGGGCTTCCAGAGCTACGGCAACATCTATTGTCAGCCCGTCCCCGCGTATTTTCAATTGGCATGGACCTAGACCTAGCTCTAGACAATTGATTCGGATGCAGCCTTAGTTTTGATTGATTCGGGACTGTACAGCCCAGCCACCATAACTTACATGGGCTTGATGTTTTTCACCATTCTGCAAATTGATCATTTTCTGTGATTCCTCTTCAGAATGCGGATATATCATACAGCAGTATTCTTGCCACCCTGGAGTCTCCTGAGAAGAAGGACAGACATGGCTCTGGCTCACTAACCATCCCACAGCCTAGCCTCATCAGTGAGTCCTCCAGAGATTCTACAATCTCAAAAGATGTGAGTTTATCACGGGGCAGTTGCAGATATGAAACGAAGTCAAAAGCCCTTGTTTTGGCCCTCTCTAGTTGTGTACATTTATAACAAGGTTGATTGTTAACCAATAAGAGAATAATAATGAATAACAATTTCCCGCATTTCTTCACCACAAGCCTTACCCCATTCTAAATCTTAGAAGACAAAGATTTTGGCACGTAAGAGCAAAAGTCATCTGCATTTAAGACCCAAATCCTAAAGAAGGTGAAAATAATAATTATCGGTAACATCGGTACTTTTATTTCTTTTGAAAAACAGGAATTGGAAAATATTGGAATATTGTTTGTTTTCCCCTCAAATTTTTCCAAGCATTAGTTGCTGAAGTTGGTTTACCCATCAATGAAAGTTTGTAACATTCTTCACCATCTATCAACCATTCAGGTGGACGCTCATCTCCAGTTCATGATGAATGAGAACAGTGTGGACTATGTGGCTAAGTTTGCTGACCTAGCCGCTCACATAACAGCTCAGCAGGAGGCACAGAAGGAGACTACAGTTAGCCATTAGAGTTGAAGCTACCAAGAATGCGGCTACTTAGTAAGTTCCCATACTGCGTCGTAGCCATTCATGGCCAGCACATGCAAGTGTGGGTGGGGCTAAATGGATAGGTCTATAGAGTAAACTCTGCGCGGGAACCAGAATACGCAGGAAAACTGTGGTACTCTTTTGGGCACGGTGAATGAAACAATAGTGTCCAAGTTAACTTATTCAGTTAAAAACTGTTGAACATTTTCTTCAGTTTCTTCCCGCTAAAACATTTGATGCATGGATGTCCAGAGAATGCTATAAATGCTTTTGCTTTTTGCTTGCAATGGATGTATTATATTTATTGGAGAAATTCAGTGGATGTGGACAGATTGTTTGTTTTTTTAACTTAGAAATGGAAAAAAACATAAAGCCCGGTTCATACTCGGCGCAAAAGTGAAAGCGAACGCGAATTTGTGACATCATGGCAAGTATTCGCGCTGCGAATTCGAAAAGTTGAACATATTTCAACTCGGGCGAATTTCGCAGCGAAAGTTTCATGACGTCAAATTTGCTTCGCACTCGCATTCACATGAAGTATGAACCGGGCTGAACACCTATAAAGTTTGTGATATGAGAATATCTACAGCAATAGGGCTTCATAATGTAACACTTGGTACGTTGCTGGAAACCATATGTATTGTCTACATATAAATACCTTCCCAACAGTCTTTAAAAGTCTTGTATAACCTCCATAACTGTGCTGCAAATTTGAGCTGAAATTTATCTTATTTTGTTTTTCTTGTCAAGTTTTGCTTAATCGCACACATCCATTTGAGTGTAACTTGCAATATGTCTATGAAGTTGATTAAAAGTGAGCAAGTATGAGTTTTCAATTGAAAAAAAATTATACGTTTTCAAAAGAAATAAGAACGCGGCGCAAACTGAAATTTTGCATTTTCTCGAAATTGTCAGACAACTCATCAAAAATCTAGTCTTTATCTTTAACCCTAACTACACCCATCCCTTCAAAATCCAACTGCACTTTTGTTAGAATCTGTGGGAGTGAGTACTGCACTAGTTAACTGATTATGCTTTACATGGGGTCAGGCATACCGCCATAATCAGAGTCTAACAGTTTGGGTGTTGAGTTTACCATATGGTGTTGGATTTTGCAAGAGTGAGGAAATTTCCTAGTAAATCACTCAAGGGGGTTAGGGTTACAGAAGTAAACATCTGTTCTTTCAATGTTCAAATGCAGGGGATGAACCCTTGGTTGGAAAATGCAAAGAAATGGTTGATACGTTATCAAATACCTAACACTAAGTATGGCATGAATGCATACAGTTTTAGTAAACTTGCTTGAAGACATAAAGTGCTGAAATGATAACATCTGTAAAAAGAGTACCAAAAGAAACAGAAAAATAGGGACTGCACCGAGTTTTACATTTATTGCATATTGAAGATTTTTCTAATTATTTGACTTACATATCCACATTATTAGACTGTCAGAAGGTATTCATTTACAAAAAAAAATTATTTGAAATTCTATTGATTATATTTAATTTTTGCCTTGTTTTGCAAATTAGTCTTTGAATGCAACTTTGATGTTCTTTGTTTTGATATAGCGCTTTCAGTACATGTTTGTTTCTGTGCTGTGTCATCTTTAAACTTCCATCATTTTGTGTTATTTATGAGTGTTTACATTTACCCAACGTGCAATAAGTGTTATGTAAATACCAGCCTTTATATTAAACCTTCATATTAATCATTTGTTCCCTTTTTTGTAACGCCTCGATTTATAGCTATCAGTATTCAAGAAAAGTGAACAAAAATTGATCAAATTTTTCTTCTCTTTTGGTCGTTACTAGTGTATGCAGAATAGCAAGTACGTGTATGTGTCAGATATATGTTCCTTAAAATATCAAGATTTAAGTCAGTGATGAAACTGTTTTCTAAACAGAAGATGATTTCACTGTCAGATCAAAGGCTGTTGAATATAAAATTGTACATTAAAGGGAATGTACATCATTGGCTTTTGCTGTAATTTTCGGAAATGAGCTATTTGAGGGGTTAGTATAATAGATCAAATATTGTTACACTGACATGTTTGAAGTTTTGTGATCGAAAATGCTGGAAAAACCAAGAAAAACAAAAATGTTCAAGTAGTCTGGTTCCCTGACCGCACAAAAGATAAAATTTATCAATTTATAGATGCCAGAAAATTGTAAGGTAAGGGAACCAGTCTAGCTGGCCTGCACTCGTTCATGAACATGTAACCAATAGCAAACAAAATTTGGATTGAAAAAGTGGTGAATTTGGAGCAGCAGTTGAAAAATAGTTAGGTTTTTCCAACGGTGGTGGGCCGACCACCGTTGGAAATGTATACAAAAAATACAATTTTCTTGAAAATGACTTCACACCAGGTGCCATAATTTTACAGGATGCTTTAGACTGTTATTTACCAACATCCCAGTAAGGTATTTCATAAAAACTTGGTAGTTTTATTTTTTGATGTTTGCAATTGTTGTATATTCCCTTTAAGATGGCATTAGGTACAATTGTGCTTTGCTCTGAAATGCTGTAATAGTGGTTTTAATTTCAACGTTGCCAATGTACATTGAATTGCAGTCTTTGCCAAATCGTTTTTTTCTGGCCGGATATTTTTTTGTTTCAAATTTGAGTGTCAAAGCTTATATCACATGAAGTGTATGTACGTCTTGTAAATTAGATTGTTGAAGTCTTCCAGACAGTTGTGTATTTAACTGAGAAAAAAAGGTTTTATACCTGTATTTATTACTGAGAAAACATCTCAAAGGTAGAGAGTAGAAAATTAAACAAGAAATTTGTCAATGATGCTGCACGCTGCATACATTTTGTTTCATGCTGCATTAAAAAAGAGAGCAAGGTATTGACTCAGCATGAACAAAAGAGGGCGCTTTGTAACCTAGCAACACGGCAAGTGAAGGGCAGTAAAATTTCACTGGTTCGCTGTTTTTTGGTTTATTATTTACAAAGAAAATACATGCCTACCAGGAAAGGCAGGGTGTGCCTCACAATGCGAACAAAGTAGGCTGGTGCTTGGTCCATCGGGTCACCTGCTAGACCTTGAAAGGCAGGGTCTGGAACCAGTCAATAAACTTTGTCCTCACTGCACTGGTTTACTTGTGTTGAAATCACACTTTAGGAATCATTGCATTCTAGAAAGGTCTCCAACTTTGGAATAAGGCTAGTACTAACTGTTTGACACAGCTCCTGCGTCTGTGATTTAACACTGACCAAAGTCTTCAAAATTCCCCCTTTGTTTTTTTTTTGTGCAAGAAAAGGCGTGTGTGTTTCTAAACATAGACCTTTCTTAAAATTTACTTTTTCACATAAAAAGGACATATTTGAGATGCTTTTGGTCAGTTTTTGTTGACTTAAAAACCCTGTTATTTGGCATTGACATTGTGTCAGTTTCTCCTGTTTGAAAGACAGTGTTTAGAAAGTTGCAGGGTCTATGAAAGAAATTTTATGGAACAGGTCACACGAAGTGGTAAGATTTGAAAAGAAAAATATAACTTTTTGTATTTTTATACTTGTACCCAGTATGTTGGGTCATGTGGGGTTGATGTATAATGGCAACTTTAGACTTTTATTTTCATTCACAGTAAGAAAATGAAGTTGGACCGAGCATTTTTTTGTGCGTCACTTTTGTGTGTTTTTTCTTTCAACTCAAGAAGACCAAAGATTTAAAAAGTTAAGTTCAAATGAAAACTACCTGATCAGAACGGGGAAGGTTATGAGAAAGTTTTTTGAGAGACGGTGTTGAATTGGAGCGATTAGTGGTTTTTGTCATAATTATACAAAGACATTTTGTAGATAACCCTTTATGTACTCTATATATATCAAGTTCTTCAAAGTAAGTGTCAACTTAGATTAATGTTGATTATTCTCTGTTTACTAATGCAATGGGAAAATCCTGTGCAACAACTTGCCTTCCACAAAATAAAACGAAGTTGGCAACTAAAAGTGTGTTTTTTTGTTTTCTTCAAATGATTATTTTCTGCGTTGTCTCTGATAGTTTATTGTAGAATTGTTGGAAAAAACAAAGAATTTTAACTGCAATTACCATTTCTTCGAACCGAAATCAAAGATACAAGTGCAAACTGTGTAGGGCAGTCCAGACACGCCCCCCCCCCTCTTCGCAACTCCGCCCACGTGGCAGTCGAAAATGTGACATCTGATTTTTTCAATAGCGCCCCCATTGGTAAAAAAAACTTTTCTGTGCATTTGTCGTCTGCTTTACAAGATGGTTGGCTCTGCTGTAGTCTACGGACTAGGCCTTTTCGAACATCGAAAAAGTTATAATATATATTCTGAATTTACCCGTGCTTTGTCAATATCACTATTGGAACGTTTCAGCCGCTTCTCTGGAATAAAAAAAAGGTAAAACAGGTTAGCTTTTAGCTTGAATTGAACCAATGAATGTAAGGACCCATTCCAAGACCAACCCCAAGTCAACTTAAACTAAAAGTCTTTATACTTAGTCTTAGCACAAGTTGTGGGTGGTGTCTACTTCAGTACTTGGAACGTGTCACTGTCATCTAAGATACCTACTCAGAAGACAATCTTTGTACACGTACTTCTTTTTATTGTTAAAATAATAAAAGAGAAGGTACACAAAAGAATTCGTTAACTTGAATAGTTTTCAGTAGCAACTTTGGGCAAAATTGTACCCTTCTAAAATGAACATAGCTGCAGAGGAAATGAGGACAAATGAGAGAGTGTGGAGGTTTGTGATCACAGAAGTTGGACATTCAAGGACAAGTGTTGTCTAAAAAAAACCCCAGTTACTTAGCTAGCTGCATTTTGCTTCAATATCTTGACCTTATTTTATGAGCAAGGATTTTCTGCAGTTATTCTGAGTCTGACTTTTTGTTGCTGTGATGTATTGTTCCACAACATGAGGTTTATTGTTTTATTGTCATCTAAAGCTGATACTATGATAGGCCTATATTGCTTAATTTTTGTTGTCATTTTCTATTCACTATTATCTATAAATAATGACATCAGATTAGCAAATAAAAATATGGGGATGGCCATGGGAAGTTTTTGTTTCGCAAAGAAACCACCCACAAAAAAGTTTAACCTTAGCCCTACACACATCTGACATTTCACAGCATTGATGACAGTTTCTTCTAATTCTCCTTCCAAGTTATCCCCTAACTGTATTTATCCCTGTCTCCTCCCCTTTGTTGATCACCTGAAACGTTTTCTTCACCACCCTTTCAAACTCTTGGGAGACTTTACGCCACTCGGAACAATCTCTTTTCATCAGTGTTCTCCGTTGACTAAATACCGCAATGAGGGAGAAAAGATCTATTGATTGTTGCCACCCAGTAGTAAGCCATCCTCCCGTTGCATTCCCCACGAAAAAATGCTTCTTAATGGTCTCGCTAGTACCCCCCTCACCTA